CGGGTGAGACCTGAATTTGCTCGATAACACACTTCTTCGGACAGTCAGCTGCATAAGGATTGCTACAATTTATAATAAACCATCGCCGATCAGCTACTTTAATTTTGCACATTATTATAAGAATGCAGAGTAGCATAGACGTGTGAATAATGGTTTAAAATTTCGTATTAAGTTTTTGTAACACTTTTCCATTTGTCGATGCTTGAAATACGGAAGTTTTTATCGCTGATCGTGCCAGTAAAACTTGTACCCGGTAGGTCCAGCAAAATTTCATTTCTATCTACCCGTGAAGATAACCTTACGTGCCCCTGTGTCCCAGGAAATATGTTTTAGAGCAAATTCAGGTCTCGCCCGCTGATTAATATTCGTTGGTAGTGATTTACCGAACTACGTATACAACTTAAGGCAAAGAAAGTTCCATAAAACGCGCCAAAATGTGCTAATGGAAATTTTGTCATTTGAAATTTGCACTATTTCTCGGGTTAATGGCTACTCAACGCTAGAAAACTTCACAATTTACCGTTTGTCAGGTTCAGATGTGAGTTCTGGACACATGCCAATTTTTCTGGTCCAGTAACTTGAGCCTGGTTTGATATAATGATGAATTGCCGTTTTTGAGTGGGAAAACGTCTTCAAATCTCTCTTCCGGTTTTTTTATAGGCGTCAAGCTGCAGTACCTGAATGATTTCACCTTCCTATCGTGGAATTAGTTTAGTTTTACCGTCTGAACAAAAGGAGGAACGAGTGAGAATTAAAATTCGAAGGTGGTCTTATCATTTTGGCTCACCTACTTTTCAGCAATTCCTCCATATCCCCGGTAATTCCTAACTTACTCAACCCAAACTTACCACCAGAACTGGTAGTGATATCACTCATCACCATGCATAATATCACTCGATTTGAATAATCACGAACTGAGCTGCTTAAATATCATAGTGGTCTTAAGATTAAAAATCACACCCTACATAAGTCGTCACAACAGGTCGTTTACCTTTTTTCAATGTTAAATGTTACTATGCATACTCTGCGAATATAATTTATACTCCTAATGAATAAAATCATAAGGTACATAAGTCGCCACGACCATCATATTTACCGTACCGTAGGTACTAATTTGTAGCCTAACAACAACACAGGACCGGCTATAAGTACAGAGTGGCTATCTTGGGTAATCTTGTTTTGGTTATACCTATTTACATACGTGCGTTAAATCATTTAAGTTCGTGCATTAAACGCAAGCCATAATTGGAAACATGGTTATTAAATTTTGAAATTCTAGCGTCTAGTCTAGACCCGGCTATTAACCTCTTAACGACGAAGTACACACATTTGTGTAGTATTATATTTTTCCGTTAACGACGAAATACACAAATGTGTGTACTGCAAAAATTTCCTTGACACCAAAATTTCTCAAAAAAATGAGTATTTCCTTGGTATTTTGTGGAAAACTCGATGGTGCATGAAAAGTGGATTTTTTCGATATTTTTCTCCCAAAATTTTGGAATTTTCCCTATACCGACCAATGTTAAATAATGGATTTTCGTGTTTTTCGTCAAAAACTCGAGTTTTGCAAACTGGTGGGAAATTTTAATTGGTTGCTATCAAGTATAATTATGAAATCAAAATCGTACCGAAGGGGAATTTTATTTAAAAATTAGCAGTCTGAAAGAGGTTAATCAAATTTCAATAGATACTTGAAAAATACATATTGCGTATAATAGGCACATACATATGTGGTTTTGTGGACATTTCTTTGTGTGTACTTATTTAAGTACTTGTGGCAAGTTCTCTCATAGTTGGTACATAAATATATTTAGCTGTCACCCTAATTTTGCATAATGCCCACTGGCCAGGACATGATTACATACATATGAAAATATCCAAATGTCGTGGTCAATGAAATTTGTCTTGTGGGATAATTACCGAAAATATGGTACTTATGTTCCTGCTCGCTTGGCTGTCAACCCAAAACTACGTTGAATGATGGAAACAATATTTGACTGGCATCTCCCGCTTTTTTAGTTTAACTGCTACCCTGAAATTAGAAACACACATGTAGAAACTCGAATCCGTTCGAAGGTTATCTTGGATCTGGAGTATTTCCATAAAAAGTAGACTCCTAGTCCATAAATATTTCTTTTATTACACATTCTTTTTTTAAACTATCTATTTGGCAGTAACTTACCCCTTGGATCGCTGCATTCCGGTGATACCCAAATCTGAATCTGACAACATCTTCGGAATTCAAACATATGCGGGAACTATATCAATGCTTATTTCGAAAAAGATTGCGTCGGCAAATTCATACGGATTGAACCAAGCGGTTTCTACAAATTAGCCGAAAACAGCACGAAAAATATTCCTAGTAGGCTCGATCAAATTTTTACAACCAATGAAAATTTGATCAATCAGAGGGTACTACATTTCCCAAGAGCATCAAGATCTGTCATTATCAGTGTGGCGTACTTTCCTCCTAATAATACCAGAATATATTGAATTATACATTTACTTTACCATTGATAATCTCACTGACATGATTGCTTACACGTTTATTCAGACACGTGTTATCCACAAAGTCAAGCCCAAACTTCTTACCAGTGAATACATATGTGTGACGTGTCTGAACTTGCAAGATTACCAATTTGCACAAAATATGATTTATGACACTGTTAAAACTTATCTGCAGATACATTAATGGGCAAATTATTTATTTATGGAGTATTTAATACATTCATGCACTTCGTATTACGGGATATGTTTTTTTAATTCATACAAGGCACATGTACGATGTACATATACTTATGTAACGGGTGTCCCGGATATAGATAAAATAAACTAAGAGTTATACAATATTAAAACTGCTTTGTAAAAACTCAAATGCAAAATTTATCCCCGTAATGTTTCTAAGAGCTAGTAACGCTACTCATGAGTTGCTCGATCTGTTTGTATTCAATTGGGCGAATTATTTTGGAAGCATGAGAATTATGCTCTTTTCCCACTTTCTCCGTCACAGTTTTCCAACTTTTACTCAAATTAGTTTGAAACGTTGCAAATTTTTAGCCTCCTGACCTCGACTAGAGTATTGTCGATTGTAGGCAAGCGATATCTTTCCATGTCCACGAGGATGAGAGACATTTGGTGGCTTGATTTATTTGGGAGGATTTTCAAGATTTTTTTGCTTCAAGTAGGTGGTCGCAATTTTGCATTCTGACACGCTGATAAGTCCGACCAAAATAAGATATCTTCTGTTTTCTGATGCTTATGTATGTAGGGTGATAACCGTTTTTTTACAAACTCGTGCAGGTATACGTTGTGGTCATAGACCCACCTGATTTGGAGGGTTCCAAAATATAGCCAAATTCATCCTTGGCTTGAAAAATTATGCAGTTTTTGGAGATTTTGTTATTTTCTTTGATTTCTGTCCATCATCTACTTCACAATGACCTAGTGCATGGAAATATTCGCCTCCCAGAAATTTAGATGGCTCAAAGGTGGCCTAAATTTCACCGTCAATGACTTTGAATTTCTCCAGGCATTTTATGTGCATTTTTGGCAAACTAGTTTTCGTACATTCTTCTTGCCCACTGAAATAATTGGGAATTTTCTTGTTTGCGTTAGCAGTGAACCCTAGTTTATGGGCTTCAATTCGGAAGTTCCGAATCGGAACACGGTAGAAGGATCAATTTCCAACTGTTGACCAGAATTGTTAACGTTTTTTTTGCATGTATTGAAAAAGTTGTACAAACCCAGCGTACTGCTAGGGGGAGGATTTCCCAGGGGTGTGACCTGAATTGTATTTAAATTTTACTTCGGAAGTTTCCGCATGCATTCTACTAACGAGGTAAAGTGTGAATTTTGAAATCCTCTCAGCAGTGAAGTTGTCCTGAATTTTTTTGTTATGTCACTCACAAGGAAACATACCGAGGTGTCCAACGAGTTAAGGGTCGACATCTATACCAAAATGACCACAATACACGACTTACTAAACAAACTGAAGGAATTTCCGTGTAAAATTCACTTTTCGTCAAGTTGTGACGATATTTGTGACGAGCGCATGACCATCGGGTTGCCAGCGGGAGAGGTCGGCCGATGAACGATCAGGTCGACCACAGAGAAGCGTCGTCGTCTTCACGTCGTCTTCAGAGATTTTGAATTCTTTCAAATTTTGAAAACCACTTGAAATTTTGAGAAAATTTCAAAAATTTCTCAAAATTTCAAGTGGTTTTCAAAATTTGAAAGAATTTGAAATCTCTGAAGACGACGACGCTTCTTTGTGTTCGACCTGATCGTTCAGCGGCTGACCTCTCCCGCTGGCAACCCGATGGTCATGCGCTCGTCACAAATATCGTCACAACTTGACGAAAAGTGAATTTTACACGGAAATTCCTTCAGTTTGTTTAGTAAGTCGTGTATTGTGGTCATTTTGGTATAGGTGTCGACCCTTAACTCGTTGGACACCTCGGTATGTTCCCTTGTCAGTCACATTTTCGTGGTAGTGAAAAACCTGCTTAGCGACTTCTTCACTTTCACCCATCAGCATTTTGCGAATTGAAGTACCATCGTTTTCAAACTTTGAGGACTTAAGCTATCACAATTTGTCTTTCGAATGACATAAATTTGAATTTTGTGTTTTCGCGGGTTCTAATAGTTATCGTCTCATTTATATCATTTAATTTATATCCGGGACACCCTTTACATATTTATATACGAGTATTTCTCGATTATTAACTTCTTGGGCAGTGATGAGTAAGCCGTCGTTAGTTAGGTTGAATATGTTTGGATTATTTTAAGCCACTTATTACATAATGAGAAGTAATCTACATAATTCTGTATATGATGAGGACCGAACGCTATGTGCCACTAATAAAATGAATTGAGTTGAATTTAAGCCACTTATGTACATACATATAGCCTGTAAGCAAACTTGTCCACATCTGTGCAGAAAATCTTCGCAAAACTTGTACAATTTTTCAGATCAGTTAGTTGGGTACATTTGCACATACACAGGCTAGTAATCAATTCACACCCAACTTTTTCTGGTTTAGATAGTTATGTACAAGCGTAAACAAAACTTTAAAATGCCTATTACGACGTCAAAACTGTTATTAATGACAGGGTTGCTCATCACCGTCGGAATTCACGCAAGTTTTGGAAACTTAATTCCTGGAGAAATTGAAATTCATGCCACAATTTATAGAAATACTACTCGTACAACTATTCGTAAGAACAAAAGAATAAAAATTATTTGAATTTAATTATGAAACTACTTAAATTATTGTATATGTATAACCGAGTTTTCGTCTCTTTATAAACCTACCTTATTGCATAAGATATTAACATATTTGAGTTTTTAACAGAATTTACTCGGTTCGACCCTTTTTCTAATCCGATTCCCGGAATTTTGGGTACGGAAATTTGGGTCTCAGAAATTTGGGTATGGAAATTTGGGTATCGGAAGTTTCGGTCTGCAGAAATTTTGGTCTCGGAAATATGGGTAGCGGTATATTTGGGTATGCAGAATTTTAGGTATGGGAAATTTGGGTATGACAAAAAATACTTTTCAACAATTGCTCTTCGGAAAATGCGGTGGCCTTAAAAGGGCCGATTATTTCCAAAGTAATTACGTGTGCTACAGTATGTAACAAAATTGTAGATGCAATGACGTATGATATTTATTTCGATATGATCCCCAAATTTCTAAAATTCCTAACTTCGGGAACAAATGTCAAAAGTATCTACGGATAATTTCCGTGTCGTCGATTTTTAACGTCACAGACAGGTCAAAGGTCAGCATTTTTTGAAAGATTCAAAATGAGAAGCCAAAAACTAAACTCCATGGATAATTTTTTTTCGATTTTCCAATATTTTTTATTGGACGCGGCAAGGCCGCACGAAAAAAATGAGCTATCGTATGACCTGTAGGATTTGTTTTACGCCCAGGACAGTTTTGAGGTCTAAAACCGTGACCGTGGCGAAATTCAAACAATTGAAAAATACAAAGGCGCATGTATTCAATGTCAATATGGTTTTGACTTGGTATATGTATTAGCTACCGCACAACCAACGGCCCTATTAAGGGCTACTAAATTTTCCGAAGAGCAATTGTTGAAAAGTATTTTTTGTCCTACCCAAATTTCCCATACCTAAAATTTTGCATACCCAAATATACCGCTACCCATATTTCCGAGACCAAAATTTCTGCAGACCGAAACTTCCGATACCCATATTTCCTCATACCCAAATTTCCATACCCAAATTTCTGAGACCCAAATTTCCGTACCCAAATTTCCGTACACCTTCTAATCCATCTCAACCGAATCCGAATTTTTTGGTTAAATAAATATTCTCGTTATTCGGATTCGGTTCTTTATCCGAAATTTGGATAATCCACTTAACACTTGTCTTTAACCATCTTGTTGTTTTTAAATATTTAAATAGCAATATTTCATTCCCTGGATCGTTGCATCCCTGTCATACCGAAATCAGAATCTGGCAACATGAGAATCTATAAAATCGAAACAAACGAGAACTGTATCAATATTTATTCCCGAGACAATTGCGCCGGCAAATTCATCCGGCTTCAAACAAGCGATGTGTACACGAACATCAGCGACATGGCGGCACATCGTTGGGACGACGACGTTTTGGTGGCCAATGAGAAAATGGTCGTTACTTCAATCGGGCCTTGTTTGGAGAAATGTGACCCTCAAAATTGGGCCGGAATGAGGAACGATATTTTAACAAACGTTACGTTTTATGATGAGACAGATTATAAAGGTGAGAAGAGAATTATCTATGTAGGTCCCAAGCTTTGGTTTCATTATGAGACCAAATTAAAGTAATAAACATTTTTGTTGCCCGTGCATGGTTTCTCCTAAGGGGATGAATTATTGTATTTACAAAAATCAGAAATTGGGGAATTGCATGCAAGTTTGCCACGACCTTGGTTGTCAGTCACACATCAGAAATAAAATAAATAAATTTTATCTTGTTCTTTATCTCTGCAGGTGAGGAATAAAATTTGAAGATTAGTTATTTATGGGATATTAAAAATTTGATTGGCAACCAAATTCGTGGCAAAATTGCATGCAATGTTCCAAGTTTAAATTTTTTTGTTTATGCTTAAGTAATTGACCTCTCGAATCTTTTAGGAATGGAATATACCCACTCAATATCTGGGAAGCAGTGCGTCCCAATTAAATCAACGGACAGAGGGCGTGGAGAATCGAGGGTGTGGAGAGGGTCCATTAAAATTTCAGGAACTGCCTCAACCACCTGTGTCGAATTACATAGGGACGCCACGTGTGGGGGGGAGTCGGTCCTATTAAGGCCAGGATATCCATACTTGCATGAATTATGGCTGTGGGGCTTCGATCTTGGACATATGTCTGCAGCGCAAGCCAGATCGATGTCCCTTTGTGGAGCTACCTGCCCCGTAGTCGAGGGCAAATTCTCAACGACGGTGACAACGGTGCTGGAAGAACCAGTGACCAATCAGTCTGATTTTCAATCTCATGAAAAAGTATGCACCTGTCAAGGAGAAGAACAACCATGGCATTCACCAGTGTGGGCTATTCTTTTAATTGTATTGGTAATTTTACTCGTCCTGTGTCTTGCCGGGTTTGGTGGGTTTTATTTGTTTCAGAAGTATCGCAGTGCACGCCCTCTATCTTACCAAGAACGTTGCAACGTTATTTACAAGTCACAGTCGGAAAACCTGTAAATGGTTACTTTCTGAATGTATTTACATACTTGATCGTTTTTTAATTAAAATTTCTTGATCGTCTCCACAATTGAATAGAAAAAGCACGTAGATATGTATTCAATTTATTTCAAATATGACATCTTTGATCATCATAATTATAACTTGTAATTTATAAGTACATAAATTTGCACCTATAATTTTCGGATTTTAATTGTTTTTAATCCTCATTCTAATTCTAATCCTAATTCTCTTAAATATGTATGAACCAGACTAGAATTGCATGACTATAAATACTTTGTGAAACACGTATTGCATGCATAATCGAACAGACGCATCGACCAGTGACACTTGGAGTCAATATTTATCATCCGTGGGGCCTCCGACCTACATATGCACAACACACATTTACGAATCCCCCTTCCTCAAAAATTAGAACCACGTTACATTGATGGAAACCGCACGTTGAAATTCGAATCTGTTAAAAACTTATCGTGGATGAAGGCAGACAGATAAGCACACGGACCGAACAGATATTGTCATGCTGTACACGATACATCTACATACATACATACATACATATCTCATCCTCAAGCTTGAAAAATTGTATTACACTTACTCTTATTTGGCTATTAATAATCTCGCACTTTTACAAGATTAATTTCACGTTCATCCAGAACCGTGCTATTCATCAAGTATGTATGTAAATGATATCTTTCAAATAAACTCTTACCAGGAAATATGTGCGACGTATGTATGCATCTGAACTTGATCTACAAAATATGCAATACGTGTACAACACTTGGTAAAACCTATTTATATGCATATATCTGTAACTGAATGGTGTACGTATTTATTTATATGTAGTGGCTACTAAGACATTCACGTATATCGTATTATGTAATATGTATGTGTTGCAATTATTAATTTCTTGAATACTGATAAGCATGTCGATATTAAGTAAGCAGTGATTGGTTACATACATATGTATGTACATATTTACATAAGTCAAACATCAATGGATTATTTTAAGTCATTTATTTTACAACATTTACGCAAACTTGACTATATACACATATTTGTGGACAGGTCTTGTCACAAGATTTTTGTGCACAAAATTTGTGTAATTCTTCAGATTACTTTGCTTTTACATTTGTATTTGTACATATTTAAGTCAGTGCATAATTAATGCATGAACAACTTTTTAACTGATTTAATTTCGTATAAAAGTGTAAAGTAGGATTTTCAAAGAAGTTTATAAAATGAATACTACTGAGGCAAAAGCATTAAGAATACAATTTTTGCTTTTCCTGGTCGGAAGTCAATCAAACATTAGATCCTTAAATCCTGGAAACATTGAAATTCATGTCACAAATGACACTATTCGTAAGAACGAAATAACACAAATTATGTGGATTACATTTTTAAGCTGCTCAAATCAAACAGAGATTTCGTTTCGCCAAAAACCGATTTGAATATTTTATTAATAGTTTTTTTTTAAATATCCGCATCACAGATACTTACCATGTGGATCGCTGCATACCCTTCATACCCAAATCTGAGTCTGGCGACATCAATGGAATTCAAACGTATGGGAACTGTATCAACATTTATTCCAAAGAAAACTGCGTCGGACAATTCGTCCGACTTCAATCTGGTGCCATGATTCAATTCGTCTACTTCAAGGCGGTAGATAGTTATGCCTACAACATTTTGGATGACCATGAAAAAATGATGGTTGGCTCGATCGGGCCGTGTTTGGAGAAATGTGATCCTCAGAACTGGGCCGGAATGAGGAGCCATCTTTCAACCAAGTTTACCCTTTATGAGGAGGCAGACTATACTGGTGAGGGACGGTCCATAAATTATGTCACTCGAGAAGCGGGAGGGGGGTCCAAGGCTCCAATGATATCCTGCCTATGTGACACATGTTAAATTGAGGAGGGGGTCTAGAAATTCGCAATTTTTGCGTGACATAGTTTATGGACGGCCCGTTAGAAGAGAATATGAAGTTAATAAATTAAAGTAACGATGCAATAAAAATTTCAGGAATCGGATATACGTACTCAATATCTGGGAAAGCGTGCCTCACAACCCCACAGGTGCCGTTGGAATCCATCAGGTTTTTACGGACTGAAAAAAATACAACCGCATGCGTCGAATTACATGATGACCCTAAGTGTGGGGGGAACTCGGTCCAATTACGGCCTGGTTATCCATACCTGCATCGCATATGGTGGTGGGGCTTCCATCGTGGGCAAGGTGTTGCTATCTTCGCCAAATCGGTCTCACTTTGCGGATATTCTTGCCCAACAGGGATGAACAGTTTTTCAACAACGACGGTGATAAAACCCACGACAACAACGCCCACAACGACGACAAGAACCAAACCTACTGGGACGACGCCATTGGAAGAACCGGTGACCAGTCAGTCTAACTTACAGATTCATGAAAAAGCAAGTAACTCGCAGGAAGAGCGACCGCGGGAAGAGCAACCGACAGATTTACCAGTGTGGGGCATGATGTTCATTGTATTGGCAATTTTACTCATTGCCGTCTTTGGTGGGATTTACTTTTTTCAGCGGTATCGAAATGTACATCCTCCAAAACCAAGAATGTTTCGACGTCATTTACAAGTCGCAATTTGACAAATCTTTATGTGGACACTTTTTACGTTGAATAAACTCTGTATCTCTCAAATGCGTCTAAATTTGCAAATGATGTCGCACAAATAATTCCACTGTGCATAATTGATTTCATGTTAAAAAATGTAATATTATTGCATTATTTTGTGCTACATAATTAATTTTGTGTGCGTTTTTATGCACCTTTTTTTGCGTTTTTAAACATTATAAAAATTTAATATCTTTAATTTAATGAATAGAAATATCTGCACAATTTCGGTAAAACTGTCCGTTTTCGGCGGCCCATTCCCACTGGAGTACACACCGGTCACAGCTGAGTCCTTGGGGCAGTTGAACTTGAACCTGGGTGATTCCATCCCGGTCAATCTCGTACACTCAGAGGGACCCGTCCGCGAAACGGAGTGGGTTTGCTCGGAAACAAGATTCGCTCTCATACCCGGTTCGACTGTAGTCGCAAAGACGGAATTCATGCCAACCACCGTGCAGGGCTTGCCAATAGATTTGAACGTCGACGGTCTGTCCGACAGTGTAATTTCGAACGATCAGACCGCGCTCGTGTTCACCGCCGATTTCATGCCGTCTCGGGAGCGCTTGGGTGATTGGGTCGCCGCAGAAACCGCATGCATTTATGTTGGGGTAGGACACCTGTTTAATACAAAAGTAATTAAATGACAGTTTTGCAAGCTAGTTTTACCTGTTTGGAAGTATTGTTTTTTTGAATAAATTTTTTTTGGGTACGATTTTGATTTTACAAATGCACCTGATGGAAACAAATTAAAGCTTTCATGATTTCTTCCAATAGTTCTTGATGAAAACGAAAAATCAGCTTTTTAACATTGGTCAGTATCGGGAAAATTTCAAAATTTGACAAGACAAAGATTTTTTTAAATAACTTTTTACCATCCAGTTTACCATAAAATGCGGAAGGCTCTTATTTTTATGATATTTTCTTATCAGAGTAATTTATGCAGTACACATACATACATATTTATACACTTCATCTTTTAAAGTACTACACAAATGTGTATTTTGTCGGTAAGAGGGTATAAATGTTAATCTCACCACCACAATGGAGTTCAGTGTCGTCCGCAATATGCCCCGGATTAGCCCAGGCGTACTCAGGGTGTCGCCATAACGTTCCGCGATGAGGGGGGTCGTCAATTCGACCGTGCCCCAGACAACCAGCGACGAACAATGTCAGACAGAGGATAAGTTTCGACATTATGTAGGGCTGCAGGTTATCGATAGACTAGTTTTCCAAGAGTGAAGGGGACATGCTTTTATATACAAAGCGATAAATGGATAATAAAGTAGACAAAAGGATGAACTCATCGGAAGAATGAGTGGCGTGACAAATGAAATTAGTTCTACATACGTCGGAATGATAAGAAAGACACAGACTTGTTGGACTAAATAACTGTCACGTTGAAGTGTCAATGAAAACATTTTGGTGGTAGTGATTGATTGTTCAATTGATTTGCACGTGACGAAAATAACTGGCCCAGGTCTCGCCTTAAATTATCGGGACGGGACGGCACATGTAGATGAGAATAGGTCGGGCCACGGGTCAACCCGACTAAAACCTGACCCGCCCGTAGCCCGGTCGGGTTTTCAAATGTTCCAGATGAGATAGATAAAGCTCAGAAATGTTGTAACCTTCTTCTCAATCCCCCTTTGATCTACTCATCCTCAATGCTGACAATACCGTATGTACAAATCGCTAAATATGATTAAAAGCATTCTAAATCTGTTGCATGCTATATTTATTACTGGATTTAATGTTCAGAAAAGTTTTACTTTGTTATAGAATTTCGAAATATGAGACAAGATCGAGACGTGATATGTATCACTACGAAAATTTGCGAAATTTCGAGACCAGACGAATATGCAAATCTCGTCCCGATTAGAGCACTGGTTGAAACAATTTGTCCACAGATATGTATTTGCCGAAAGTAGGGATTTTTCTCGGGTTTCAATGGTTATAGATATTTTGGTCAACGGATTCAGAGGGCCCCGAACTCGAAAATCGCCATCCAGCTCACCTCTGCAAACTACGTAAATATGCCGTCATGATTGGCACGGACCTCGTGATCGCAGAATGGTATTTTTCATTTGTTTAATTCATTAATTGACGACTATAAAATTAGCTGTCTTAATTGACTGCAAAGAATGCGGCGACAGACTGTGAATGATGAATGGGTATATCATGTGCCGTTGTCATTGTGATGTATATTGCCATTGAACTGGTTTGAAGAGCCATTAATGATGATACTATAGCTTGGATTTGGTTTGCATATAAATATAACTGTCATGTCCCATTTGAGATTTATTTGCTTGTCCGTCTCGCTGGAAGTCAGAACCATGTCGAAACTTTTGTTCGTGTTGGCAACGGTGATTGGGTGCTTGTCGGCTTTATCTCTTGACCACGCTCATCCTCGCGTCCCGTCCATTACAAGATCCTCAGCAGAAAAAAAATCCAGGCTCGCTTCAAATCGCTGGAGTGGAAAGTTGTGGTAAAAATTTAAAAACTCGCAATTATTTATAAATTTTGCACAACTTTCATAAAGTTGTGTAAATTTTAGTAAATTTTATAGGATGACACAATAACAGGATAAACTTTATCAATTTTTGTCATCCATGTTAAGTACCTAATATAAATTGTGCATAATTAAGTTTTGCTACTTTTTCTTTGTATTGTTTTTTAAACAAGAACCCTGCATCGAAATAAGGAATCTTGAGAATGCTTCCCAAAACTAATAAATAAAGATTCCGGAATTTGTAGTAGAAATATTCAGTAATAATTTTTTATCCTAATTTTACCTACAAATTAAGGTGACGGAATAATTCTTGACGTCCGACTGGATGGATGCACCGCTGCCCCATGTCAGTTTCGTCGAGGACAGTACTACAGCATTGGTGCCGACTTTATAAACGGTACGTAAAGAATTATGTACCACATACAATTAGCATAATTGACTTGCAATTTACACCATAAATGATATGTGTACACAGCCGGCACCGAGGAATATGGGACCGTTTACTTCAAATCGATTACTTACAAAGGTAACGATGTTCAAATTGTCGCGCCAGATGCGCACATTCCCAATGTAAATCTTCAACCAAATCAACAATATCGTTTCAACTACGACATTTACATTCCGCCCACGGGTTTTACTGGCGTAAGTAAAAAAAAAACGGCCACGGTTTTTTAAAATCGTGATTTATTTATAAAATGAGAAATGTTTAATTAATTAATAATTAATTTGACAATTTGGTTTCATTTTCTCAGGCTGAATCCGAGCTCCGGTTTACCGTTTACCAGAACATGAGGAGGCCACTCTGTGTCGTTATTCCAGCCACGATTCTATGAGTCTAAAGTATTAGCTACATATTTATCGGGTTTGGAGGTCTTTTACGTTTGATTAATATTAAATTAAATTGTATGTAAAGCTCACGTCAAAATTTTCAAAATTTATAATAAAGTGAAATAATAAATAAATCGATGATTAAGAATCATCCAAGGATGATTTTGTTTTTAAACTTGTGTTTTTAACAAACCACCAGTACCAAAAAATACTCTCTTAGCAGAGTATATAATTTCTATTGTTTAAATCGATAAAAAAATTTGCGGTCCGGATTAATTTTAATATCAAGCGGGAGCAAATTTCATACCGAGAACTCAATAAATAGTTGCGTGACTATGCCAGGTTCAAAGTGGTTGTATACATAATTCCGGATATGAGCAGCACAACCGCTAGGCGCTACGGCTACCGAACGTAGGAAATTTGCCAGCTCTTCACTGCCCTGTTGCACGAAATGTGTGGTGGCTGGTGGCCATGTATTTAGACAAGTTTAACATAAAAAATTAGTAATATCCTGGTAATTATGCATATACTTAATTTTCTCAAATATTAAAAATCGGCATTTCGATATTTCCAACTTGAGAAAATTCTATTCTCTTACATATGTACGTACTCTCAAGTAAAGAGATTTACCATACATTGTTTAAACCTGACTAAATACATATATTACCAAAATTTCTCACTTAACCAACACCCACCTTCAAACAATCACAACTCTGATGTAAATAGTAACCTCAATTTTGAAAAAATCACTCCCCCTAAATTTCTAGAAGTTTGAACAATGGCCAAACTTAACTACTATTTTCTCGTAATGCATTACTTTTCAAATTCTAATTTCATTCAACCTACTGCATCATTAAACACTCCAAATTTGGCATCTGTTCTTTCACCCCAAGCTGGTTGCCGATATTACCTCGTCTTCAACAATATTTCCACCTCGGACTTGCCAACTACCCGCCAAGTTCCTGTTACACTGACTAAACGTACTTTCTCAGAAATTTTTGAACCATACTTTTACAAAACGCCAAACACCTCGTACAGACTTGACATTTTCCAAAACCGAGGCTGGCTTTGCGAAATTGTGATTCAATTTGTCACCATAAATTCGTCAAATTTTATGAAATCTCATGCTCAGGCGTTATCGTATTGGATTAGAACACATAGCGATTCCTATTTCACACTAAATCATAAAACTATTTTCAGAATTTATCCAGATAATTTTTACTTTCTTTTAATTCCCAGTAACCCGAAAGTATTATTATCCAGCGTCACGAGGCCCCTTTATTTTCAAATATTCCGGCCTATAAAACAACTACCCGTCAAGTTTTCTGTTTTATTATTTCGCACGGAAAATAGGGTGCAATTATGTTACCAAAAAAGAGTCCCAATTCTACAAACGTTTGCCTGTACTATTATTGCCCTTTCAAGTGGCGATCAAGTATTATTCACCCCTTTAAACTACCCGCCACCTTGCGACATTAGCGCGGGAAAGGGAGGCTAAAGTGGGGAAATATGAGAAATCTCGGTATGCCAGCGGTTTCAAGGTGGTTCAGCTTGGCGACAGTATTCAAACCATTTTTATCCTGTTAGCAACATGTTTGGCGGTCTGTTTTTGTATCTTTGTCGGCGAGGATGTGAAACACAATTGGTCAAATATTGTGACGAGGATTGCAATAATTTGGGTAACATTTAACAACAATATGCAGTTTAGGCGTCGTAAGAATACACGGCGGCGAAACTGACCGATTTATTTACTAAGGTTATATCTAGTATAGAACATAATTACATTGTTATAATTGACCGCAATTTGACATAATTTGCATGTAGTTACCGTTAAGGTTAAGTAGCTTACTACATTACTCATGAGGTGGCCTAAAGGTGCGTTTATGCTTCACGTAATCGTCACGTAATCCTCCAAATCCGATTTTTTGATTGGTTAAAATTTTTAATTGTCGTAGTGATAATTTAGTTCAGCCAATCAAAAAATCGGATTTGAAGGAGGACGTGACGATGACGTGAAGCATAAACACCACTTAACTCAGCTCTACTTTTCCATGCTGATTCTCATTTCCCCCCAAGTACAATGTTAATTTCTATGAACATTGTAACTCTTATCGCATGAATAAATTATATACATATAGTTAAATTGCTCTTGTTCCACATTTATTTTCATACTTAAATACATGAACAAGTTACTTTATATTGGTTATGCTATGTCGGACAGTTTTCAAATTATACTCTATTTATAATTTGCAATTCGGAGTTTTGGTTCCAATCAGAAGCAAAATTTCGTTTTATTTGTTCTCGTTTGTCCCAGTTACATACATATCGCGATGTACATACATATGTATCGCCTGAGCTCTAAATTGTGTATTTGCTGATATGATGGTTTTCCAATCGATTCGAAAACTAATTGTATCCGGCGTCCGGCGCATTACTTTTATGTATATCCTCAATTTTAGCAAGGCTTTCGGCAAGTATTGCATCATCAATATTTCATATAAATTCCTAAACCTACCAGTACCACTCTTCTATGTACAGTAAATATTCTCACCTACACGTTCAAAAAAATTTACAAATCATGACCATGTCAAAGGATATTTGCCGACATGCAGCTTTCCTCATGTTGTTTAACTTTGAAAATTTTACCCACATCGAATTCGCAGTCGCATTACCTTCTCAGAATTTGGCATCTGTCCGAACACTTCTTGCAGATATTTCATAATCTTCAACAATATTTCCACCTTAAACTTACCAAGTACCCGCAATGTTCCCGTGACCCTGGCTAAACGCTCCTTGTTGGACAACTTTCGTTCAGACTTCTACAAATCAGATAACACCTCTTCACAAGTTGACCTTCTCGAAAATAGGGGCTGGATTTGTGAAATTGTGGTTCTATTTATCACCAAAAATTCGCAAAATTATACAAAATCTCGGTTGGCAAAAGTGTTAGGATATTGGATCATGAGTCAGAGTAGTTATCATTTAGTGCTAAATAAGGACCAGATTTTGACTATTTATCCCGACAATTTCTACTTTATCTTAATTCCTAGCAACCCAAATACTTTGTTGGCCGATGTAAATTCACCCTTTTACTCACCCCCCTTACTCTATGAAGGGCAACTACCCGTCAAATTTTCAGTTTTACTATTTCTCACCGAAAATAAAGTGAAAATATGCCATCAAAAGAGTCGATATAATATTCCAATCCTGCCAAATTTTTCCTGCATTACTACTGAAAATATAGAATTATTTACCCCTTCCGACTACCCGCCAGAATTGGAGTATCATTGGGTGGATTACCCAAGTACTGGGAGGAACCCAGAATTATCAGAAGTTTTAATTACCACAGTATTAAATAAACTTAACGGAACGAGACACGTAACTGGACCAAACAGCATTTCGTGCTACTATTTTCTCACGGAACCTTGTAACTACCCGTCATTAAGGCGTGAAGATCTTATCCAGGGAGGATTTCGGAATCAAATTGTTGTCACATCGTTTCCTGGTTTATCCTTCTTTTCATGCTATTTGGCATCAGGTGGGGTCATCTTTTCCCTGTATTTAGCGCCATACGACCCTATCGTGTGGATCGTCACGGTTGTCATGCTTATCTTGTCGTCCTTCCTCTTGACTGTTGCACTTTACCCTTTAAACAAACGGTTCTACTCGGTAAAGTTAATTTTGTACTTTTTCGGATGTCTGATCGAAGAGGTGAACCGCCTCCCTAAAAAGTTGACCAATTTCGTTCCCTTCCAATTCTTAAATATTCCCTGGCTCCTGGTTGGCATCGTGATAAGTAATTGTTATCTGAGTTTGTTCATCACCAATTTTAACTCGCCCCTTCCCGGGGAACAAATGGACACGTATGACAAAATTTCTTGTCAAGAAACACCCAAAACAGGTGAAAATCAGGGCATGATTATGGACAGATTTACATCAAGGTTGCTCAAACAGGACGACGAGACTGGAAATTTTACCACCGTGAAATTATTGGGAGGGTTCTGTTACACGATTTTATCTCAATTTACCCCTATGTCGGGAAGGAAATATTACTTTTATAGTTACAAATTATCGAAATATTTGGAAAACGAGGTGGTCTTGTACCCTTATAGGATTCCACAGCATTTACAACGTTTACTGAGTTCCCTGCTTAGTCCAAGGATTCGCTGGTATCCGGATAAGTTGAGACTTTCGGATGATGTGAGTGCCATCGGAGTAAATCGGCTTATCGAAGAAGAAATTTTGCAGTGTGACAGATCAGCTTATATCGGACCGTCGAGTGAGATTGACGCCTATTACGATTCCCTGAGGAGAAATTATCCCGCGAAAAAATGGTATCGTGGAGTCAAGACCATTTTCGAACGGCCGGTCGGATTTACTTTTCAAGTTGGACGAGAATCAAGGATGATCCAGTATTTTAAAATGTTCTTGGATGCCGGGATTTATCAGCGGGTTTCTAATAAGGGCTCATTCCATCTGAACCCACACGATCGTCGTCGCACCCATATTTGAGATATTTTCCACAATCTTATAGTAGATGCATGGTACAAAATAAACCATACCATAAAATCAAAATTTGAAAATTAATTTTTTTCGCAAAGATATAGCAGTTAAAGTAAAATTTGTAAATGCATTGAAAATGCTTTCGTAGCCAAAGTATAGATTCAAAGGGGTAGGTTACATTTACGGATTTCATTAATCGATCATTCATTGATAGAAAAAAAATTTTAAAATTCGAAAATTCGAAAAAATCAGAAATTTGAAATGTATTGAAAAACTCAATTATCGAGAAGACCGACAAAAATCGCTTATAGTGAGATAAGCCAATCGATGCCTTTGGGCCTGAGCAAACAAAAAAGTTTAAAACCTCACGCGATTTTTGTCCGTCTTGAAGTTTTGGCGATTTTTCGAAAAGGTAAAATTAACATGGGCTGCTTGTCTAGACAGTAGTAAATAATTCTGTGTTCCTACGTGGCCGGGAACATTGACAAAGCAGAAGTTGTGTGGTGTTCTCATATCAAAGAGAGGAAAATACATGGTCAGGCAGCCACCACCAGCGAGCAGGGTTTAGCACCACTATTTTCTGGTACTCGATCAAACGTGTTGCTTACAAATGGAATGAGCCTAAGGTCGTCCGTAATGCGACATTATTGCGAGAAAGAGAGACTAAACTGAGGAAAAGTGAGAAATTTCAGTTTTCTGAGCTTCCAAGCTGTTCAGCTTGGCAGTAGTATTCAAACTATTTTCATTCTGCTCAGCACCTGTTTGGCGGTATATTTTTGTGTAGGACTGTTTGAATATTTGAAATTCAATAGAAAGATACTCGTTAATAAGGCGATATTGACTTGGGAAAGGTGCAAGAAACGTTTGAAATTTAGATGTCGAAAAAGACTAATTGATTTTATAGGATGGAAATATGTAACTTGTTACTAACAACTAGATATGTATGTACATATGGATCTACACTCTTAGAATCCAGTATTAAAATTATACAAAGAAGTATTCATCCGGATATGTATGGTGTGAGTCACACCGTGTGACCCTATCAAAGTTGTATTGATAAGTTTATATCCTGTAGTAATACATATGTTATTATTAAAGTTTTACCATTTCGGTAGGAAATTGTTACAAGCAAGGCATAATTTTTAAACCTAGCGGTAGCAACTTTAATACCGATAAATAAATACCTTCGTGACTTTATCAGATTTGTAGCAGTGCATAGTTTTATTGAATTAATGGAAAAGTACCAGAAAATTGCTTAGTTTTTTAGCACACATATTTATGTTTTTGAAGCTACATACACAAGTCCATGTAGAAACCAAACATTGCAACATAACCTAAAATCTTTGAACACTTTTAATTTTAATTTTTCAAACGATTTACATTCGAAATCTGAATTATATCGATAAGTAGAAGAGATTAGGTTAGTCTTAAATTTAGAAGGATAGAAAATTATGAGTTATTTCAAACTGTAAATTACTAATTCACAATTTAATTGAATAATACATTTCAATATTCGCTTATCAGTTCATCACATTTCTTAATACACTTATCCAACAAAGCAATCTTCAACCCTTCGTTACCCTCAATTTTAACCTTTAGCTTACAAAAATAATATCTCGCCAACTCAAGAACAGAAACAAAGTCGGAGCAATTATCGTAAATCCAGGCAGCTTCACCCTTCCTCAATTTCACCGCGGAGGTAAACACTTTTTCATTGTTGTAACACAACTCTAACGTCGCAGTTCCCATGATAAAAGCCACACCCGCCATTTTTTGGCAACTTAAATCAGACACATTCGGATACAAGGAAAGACTATCAAGTGCATGAGGAATTGCATTAAGTACCAATTCATTACAACAATTAACTGCGCTTTGTCTGTTGGCGGGGAGTAGAAAGTCGTCCAGTTTTTCGGCATACTTACCCCAAACCTGTTCAGAAAATATTCCTTCATTCAAAATTCATTAGAAATTAGAAAAAATTGTTCATTAATTATTCATTTGCTGTATTCAAAACTTGAAAATAAATATTTTGTCATTGTTCATTTTTTATTCATTTTAGCTATCTCATTCGCCTTATTGAATGGATTTCTCAATATACCCCGCGTATTAAGCATACATAGATTAAAAATGAACAATGAATACAATTATTCATTCATTCTTCATCTAGATGAATGAAGTGAATAAATATGTATTTCTTCGATATTCATCCATCCAAAAATTTTGCAAAATTATTCACTCATTATTTACAAATTTATTTAAATGAATGAATAAGTTATTCATTTTGTATAGTACAGTGTGTATTCAGTGACAGCGGAAGCGTGGAGACAACGGGGCAATGTTCCAACGGTTATTGGGCGTACCCATCATCTGCCCATCATCATCCCATCATCATGTACAATGTTGATGTCCCCACAGCTTCCGCGGTCACTGACTGTATTCAACAAAAAAATGTGAACAGGTACTTCTTTCGGCCAGAATATTCTGGGCTGCGGGATTTGCAGGAGATCTTCCCTTATATCTCGAATTATGTTCACTTTTTGCAACAGGCGTCCCGCCGAGACGCAGAGGGACCGTTGCGTCTTTTCCGGGATGCCAAACGGAGCACAAATGTTGCCAACAATGGACAATTCGACGCAATTAATGCCCACAAGCCCGGCGACGTGGTAGCAATATTCATCATATTGAGCAAGACTAATTATATCCGTGTCGAGAAACTTGTTCATTCCGAACCCCATTTCTTTTATGGCATCCTTTATGATAAGTTGCTCGGAAGGATGTAAGGAATTGTAGCATTTTGCCAGGTTTCCAAACTTTTGGAGGAGTTGAATCTCGGTAAGATTTGAGCCAACTATGTATTTAGTAAAATAATGAAGATTGTTAAGATTGTTATCTATCTAGATATGTAAATATGTAAGGTTTTTCCTTGTCATTTTTAGTACGCTTTTAAAAACTTACATCCGGACAAAGTCCAATTTTCATCTGCTAAATGAGTATAAAATTCACACAAAGGTTTTTCCTTTTCTTTTGATGGTACTTTCATGTCATCCTCTAAATATATAGGTAAAATGTAAAAAAAATATGTTAGTAAATATGTAAATGTAACACTGAGGAGGCAATTCACGCATGCAGGCAACCTGTAAAATCCGTGCATGTTCTAATTTTATGATTTTATAAACTTGTAAAAATTAAAAATATGCCTTTGATCTGATTAAGTTTACGAAGATTTGCAAGCCAATTTTCTTTAGAAGTAAATATTTGTAAAGTTCACAGAATGTCATGAATTGTCTCACCAATTGCTTTTGTCCATAAATTATGTCACGCAAAAATGCTGGGTTGTCAGACCCTTTCTGGTCACGTGCTGTACCCCATTTTTACATGTGGCACACTTCTGATTAGCACGCAAGACTTCCCCCCCTCATGACGTAATTTATGGACGTCCTCGTTTTTCATTACCAATTGAATCCAGTGCCCTCGCTATCAAATAGAAGGCTGCAACCGGTCTCATAAAATCTGGATGAATGCCCAAAATCAGAAAATAAAAACTCCTACTCGTTTTCCTCAACTTGTCGAAACACCACTCCCACTCCGCACTGACATGTCGAACTTTGAGTTTAGACTGGTTGAATATTAGTTTAAAAAGGGGGATTATTTGGCACGGGTGCGAAATATATTTCGATACTTTGTTAAACAGAAATATTGTTAGGATGCAAATAACAATTGCGAAAATTAAAGTGATTTCCATTTTTGTTAAATGAAATGGAATATTTTATGGTATCCGAAGGGTAAGTAGTGAATGAGAGATTGATGCTTAAATCGCTTTATCCTATTCACACACATATTCCTCATCATTTTAATTAATTGCACAGAACTGGTTTAAAAGGATGTAAATACATATGTACGTACATACATATGCGTTTAATCCAGACTTAAATGAACTTCAGGTAGGCAATAGTTTACAAATGGACGTAATTTGTTGCAACTAGAGTGATATACCTAAGATTAGGTTAATGTGAAATATTTAATAAATAATTTGTTGGGAAAATTTTTAACGTTGCGTAATGAGAAGTTGTTGCAGATTTATCTGGTTTTCAGTTACTTGAAGTAGCTTACTTCGCACCGGTGTAAAAAAATAGATAACTTTTTACCTTTTTACATGGCAAGTTTTTTGTGGTGGTGGATGTACACATACATGCATACATATTTAAATATGTATGTAGTTTTTTCAGTCACTAATTGGGCGTGAAAATTGCAAGTAGGAAAGGATAGCTTTTTTTAGAAAATGTCCAAGTTTTTAATACTTTGATAAAACTTATTTTGCTGTCGATTTTGAACCTATGGTTGCACATCCAGTGCACCTTGAGAATTTTGTCAACTCAAAAGGTGCCTTACTTACGTAAGTCAAATTTTGTGCAGAATTTAGGATTTTGACAAGTTTTATGTTTCCAATGGAAACTTTCCATGCTGTATGTATGTATTGCCCTAATGAGTATGTTTATGCGTGCGAAATGATTTTTGTGCCAAAAAATTAATACCAAAAATTCAATAATAAGTTATTTTACTAAATATGTATCTAAATACATTCAAGTTTACATATGCGCTTTTCTGAATCAATTTTTTTCTGGAATTTATTTAAAAGTGAATTTTGACAAATGCATCTTCATTTCGATTTACTGGGGTACATATTTGCACAACAAATCCTTATCAAAGGCGTACCACTTGGTTCCCTTTCCACCGGAAAAGGTGTTCCCGATATCAGAATCTGTCACCCGTTCGCACACCGTGTTATCATTTCCGTCCAGTTGTGCCCCATCCCAATCAATCTTATCGGTCGGGTCGGAGTATGACTCGAATTTGATGTAAAGACGACTCCCCGAGTTCAATGTGAGACAGAAAAGGACAGGAATTTTGACCCCGCTTGCCCCACTGTGGATTACCCCTTCGGAAATGGCGCAGTGGTCCGGGAGGATGTAAGCCTTGGCGTAATCGGTGTCAAATTGGTAGGTAAAGTCGCTGTTAAGAAAATAGAAAACCATTTTAAGACCGTAAGTGTAAAATGGATTATTTGCACTCTCATAAAATTTTGTAAATTTGCATTTACAAACTATGAAAGGGCTTAAAAATGTGCAAAAAATTGCAAAGATATCAAAAGAGTTGTAATATCTATTCAAAATTATAGACAGCAATTAAAGACGTCACTTATTTATGTATTGTATGTTTTTTTAACCAAAATGTGTCAAAAATTTAGTAATTTACAAAAATTCGAATGAGAGGGCTGAGAATGTTGCACAAACTAAACACTAAAATAAATTACTTGTAATTATTATCGACTTACTTGAAATTCTTATCGAATTGTAGTTTATCTCCGTTTCTTACTAATTGGCACGTGGGTCCGCAAACTTCGCTAGTTCCGGTGTCTGGATACCGTACAACAGAGGTGATAATGGGATGAACGACCACTTTGAGAAAAGTGTCTGCGCCCGACGCCACGCTGGGGTCGTCAGATTGCGCAAGTTGTGCAATCATTCGTGCCACCATGAAGGCGTTGCCTCTATTGTAAAGGTGGCCGTTGGCGATTACGGTAACGTACAGGAATTGACAACCAGGTAATTTCTGGGATTAAAAGATAAATATAAATTTATGATTTGTTTTCAAGTTGGGAATAATAAATTTCTATGAAAACTGACATTGAGGCAATTCACGCGGTCTGAAGAAGCTTTGTAAACTCCGCAAATTTTTGTAAAGAAATCACATTTGAACGAAATAATTCGTCGCCCTTCATCTCATCATGAGTAAAGACTTGTAAAGTAACGTTCCTTATAAATATTTATTTGTAAAAGCTTGTACAAGTTTGTAAGTTTTCGGATTTTACAAAGTTACCAAGGGCTCCGTGAATTGCCACATTGTCAAAAAAATTTCTGAATAAAGTTATTGCCTCAAATTAAATTTCTTAAGTTTCTCAAATATAAAAAAATCAAGTTAGAAACCTCAATTTTTCAGCAAATAAATTTAGTGGGAACACTCAAGTCAACGTTTTACTTCAAATCGTGACTCATTTGCATATGTAATGAATAATTTGCGAACTAATCCTGATAAATGATTTTGCAAAATAAAAGAAAATATTGGCAAATTTGCAAACAAAAATCTTACCAGTTCCCAGCAAAAGTTTTTTTTAATCTCATATATTTCTCTCATAAGTAGTCAATATTTTTGCCAAAATGGAAACATGACCGGCCACTTTCCTAGTTATGCTCAATTTACGAAAAACTTAAAACTTCACTTACATATTTATCCTTCAAAAAGCTCAGAAATTTCATAATATTCAGGAAAAACGTGTTATCATCCAAAACTTCGTCATACGCCAGAGAAATAATGGTCGACAGCACGGTGGTCAAAGTCCCTTTGAACGAGCCGTGCTCATACTTGTACGCCGTCCCGGAAGTCGCCCCATCCACAATGTCGCCCATAATATTTACGATTTCCGTACTTTCCAAATCTTGCTCCAGATTCGCCACCTCCATTTTCAAACTCTGTGTCGACGCGGTTAAAGACGCTAAAGAGTCTTGAAGTTGCTTTACCGCATCGGTAAACCGGTCAGATGCTGTAAATAGGTCAGATCTCGTAAATTCATCAATTCAACAATGTTGAATCAACATTTCGAAAAAGTATTTAAATTCGTGCACAATGTTTTAAAAAATTTAAATTCTCATCAATTTTTTTAAGTTTACAAAGACTTACATATGTACAACGACTTGTCAAAGAAGCATTCATTATTTCATAAAATGATGTGAAATTTCAAAATAAGTGGTTAAAATCTTGCAGATTGTTATAAAGTATTCTACATAGTTTCGTATTTTTTGTATTTTTTTAAAGTTTGCAAATAAATATCTCACCATCCTTGACCAGAGTGTCCATTTTGACGGTGAGTTGAGCAATGGCGTCTTGTAGGGTGGCAATTTTACCATCGACGTCATCAATTTGACCGGACTTGTTAATTTGGGCCAACTGATTTTGCAGATCGATAATGTTCTGCTTAAGGTCGTCAATTTCCTGTTGCACTTGATCCGAGGGGGGTGGGTCGAAACCGCCAAGTCGGCCCCTGACAAAAATAAAAAGAAGTCATGGTAAAAGTTGTGGTATTTTTTGCACATTTGACAAATTTTCGCAAATTATTTTCAAGTAAAAAAGTGATGATACAAATTGTGGCATCAAAGTCAAACGCTTAGAAAATACTCGCAAATTAATTTCAAACAAGAATCACAGTAAAAATTGTGGCATCGAAATAAATATTTTTGCACATTTTGCAAATATTAAGTATTTTCGAATTTTCGTAAGTATTTTCGAATTTTCGTAAGTATTTTCGAATTTTCGTAAGTATTTTCGAATAAAATAATAATGGTAAAACTTGTGCTATTAAAACACTTTTTTGCAAAAATTTTAGCAAATTAATTTACATACCCTCTGATCCACCCGATTCTGACGAGATCGTGTTTCGCCGTATTAATCGCGTCATGCACCCGAGATAACGCCAGATCCATTCGGTTATCAAATTGATCACAATAATTGCCAACGTTGAGAAAAGAGCTCCTACAAATTTGCCAGCCCGCATCGGTCTGTAACCTGGAAATAAATACGAAATTAAAAAAAACATTATTTTCGGAAATTTTAAATTAAAAAAAATGATAGAATTTTTTACCCAATTTGTTGAATGACTGGTCCCGGCTGTTGTTTAATTGAAAGCAGCCCTGCCATAAGGGCGTTCATGTAAAAGCTTAATATTCCCGAAGCCATGATTAGCGATGCGAGAAATTTATCGAATGTTTCCAAACGACAATTGATGTATAATTTGGACGACAAGCAATTAAGTAATGTCAATAACCTTAACCACTCGTTTAAATATATTGATTGAATTTCATGACTTTGCACTTTCATGATTAACTGTTCCAATAATTTGACCAGCTCAGCATCACATGTTTCCAATTCATGTCACAAATTTTGCATAATTTTGCGAAAAATTGCCTGCTGCGCTTCCTACATATTTAACTGCATACTTCCGTATGGAGAATTATTGAGAGTTGCAACAGTCATCGGATTAATTATGTAGATCAATATAAACATGACGTTTTTTTGCAGAATTTTGCAAATTCATGAACTGGACTTCGCTCAGTTTCTTGACCTTCTTCCGCATCTTACATACATAAATGCATGCAAGTAATTCGCGAAAAAATTAATGCTTATCACAACCAAATGAGTGAATGAATCCTCAATTCATTTAAGCGTTTACTCTGCTTATTAGCTCACCCTGCGCAGCATGAGAGCTATTGAATTCCTCTTGTCCGTCTGTATGTCTGTCTGTCTGTGTGTTAACGACCTTTTTGCATCAATTGATGCTAATTAAATAGGACCATGTCCATTTTTTAGGCAATTAGTAGCACCATTATTGTGAAACAAACAGTACCGCAAAATGGTGCGAAATAATTGGGGGAATCGATGTATTCCGCACCAATGGTTAAGATTATCTGAAAGTTCTTGTTAGTCGTGGCAGACCTATCTTAACCTCAAAATCATGTCAAAATTGTATCTCAATTTTACGCATTTCGGCCGCACCAATGGTGCAAAATTTTATCAAATTTTTGTTATTCCCCGCTTATTCTGTACCATTGGTGCAAAATTATATGAAAATTATGAATCTTTTTTGTCGGCTAATTCTGCACCTTTGGCGCAAAGTTACATATACAACTCATTATAATAGGGTGAGCTACTTCTAACGTTACAACGGTTTATTTACTGTTTATTACGGTATATATGAAGATCAATCACTCCATTGTACTTATTTGAATTAAACATTTCTTTATACATAAATTTGTATATTGTGGTATTTGAATAAATACGTAAACATTTAAAATAATTATTTCTTTAAATATTTGCAAAAACTCAATATATATATATGCAAACTCTTGCATGGATAAATACATTTACAAAGTATGTATGGGTATGGATTGTATGCATTGTTGTACGGCAGATATCTAAAATCATAAAACACTTTAATTTATCGGGAAGCCTTAATCTAAGTCATAAAGTAATTTGCAACTTGCCAAATTTTGCACTTATCCTGAAACTGAAATACAAACCAAATTGGTGCATGTGAAACGGTTGGGCAGGTAAGTTTTCAATAGGTTTCATCGAATGGCCTGTTAGCTCAATCGGCAGAGCGTGGTGCTAATAACGCCAAGGTCCTGGGTTCGATCCCCAGACGGGCCAGTATTTTTTGCCCTTGAGCTATTAATAATTTTTTTATGTAGTTCCTTTCAAATTTGTATAACAAATGGTTACAAAATTATCAAATTTTACATGTTTCTAAAGATTTTCCTTGCATTTTTCAAAGTTCTAAAATAAAATTATTTTTAAATAACTTGAAATCAAGACAGCTTTTACTTTTCACACATTATTGAGCGTCACTTTATTTACACATTTGTGTATGCGATTGAGATTTATGAAAATTGGGTGATTGACTGTAATGGATGAAGAGTAGAGTAAAACAAGATGTTGACCAAAATATTTCAGTACAAGAAACTTGAAATTTTATTTCGTTTTAAAAAATCATCCAAAATTACGAATAAAGTTAGTTAAATATATCAAACGACCAATTCAATTTGGTACGTACATAATTGTCATAAAAAACTCCAGTAAAAATTAGAAAAAAAACGTACAAAAATTAAATGCATCAAACCCACTTTTTACAAATTTTTGACCTCCTTCTCAAAAGGACCACAATCTGTCCGCTCCGATAACAGGCCTTCACTTTCCTTCAAAATGGCGAGATCCACGCCAAAAGTTGTGTACAATTCGGACGCCATTGTCCTCCATTCCTTTAAGCCGGCGTTGTACCGATGTGCCATGGCGCAGCGCGTCTCCAGTGACAATTCCCCCGCATTTTGAGCCACCTCAGCCTTGGCGTCGGCCAGAATAGCGACGAATCCTGATCTCAGGTCCTTCGCCCCTTTCGACGTCAGGGTCGCCAAGGATTTCGACCGGTCCAGCAGATCGATCGCCTTTTTCCCGTGAGATTCCAGGATGCCGTTAATCCGCTCCCCGACGAGGGCGTTTTCCGCGGTGGCGTTCGCGATGATGTCGTCCATGCAGGATCGGACGCCGGCACGGATCGAGCGAACCTTCGTGATGGTGTCGGAAGTGACGCGAAAAACTGGGAGGAAAAAAATAGTTAATTTAGAATTTTTTTTGGAAAGTTGAATAATTTTGAAAATTATGTATGGTAATTTTTATTCTTGTAAATTATTGACTTACCTCCGAGACCAATTGTAGCAGCGATGATGGCGGAACAAAGTACGAAATACTTCATTTTTAAAGTTTTAAACGGTATAAATTTTGTGAAGGCGAGGAAAAGTGTAAATGTGCTGGACAAAAGTGTAAATTTGGAGTGAGACTGAGACTGGAAAAGAGAATGAATTTTTATACCCAGGTTTCAGGTAAATACATAAAATTGTGTAAATGGACCTTAACTAAGGATAAGTATGTATGTACATATTCCACAGAAATCTAATTTTGGAAGGATTAAGGATAACAAGAAAAGCTCTGATGGAATACAATAAGAATTTTTTAGGTCTTTAGAATCTGGCCAACAAAGCCTCAAAGAACAATAAATATATAGATTTATGTACATAATTACTTATCCTTAAATATGTACATATGTACATGTTTCACTGTTAAACGATGAAGAAATACCTTATTTCTTGGGAAATTGTTTCCAGAAATTTACAGCCAACTATCTGAATACATATTTGCAATGTTTATGTACAGGACCTGTGTAAAAAAGAGTATTTTTATCTACATAATTCTCCATTTATGATTGTTTTAAGTTTTTAATATCCTGTTTTTTCACACAACTTATTTAGTAAATATGTAAATACACACAGCCATACATAATACATCCCTTTCATTGTAATGTGTGTACACATACCCAAAACTTGTAAGGCAGTAGTTAAATAAATACATGACTCACATATGTATCATCTAAGCAATAATAAATAAATATTTCGAGCAATATTGACCCATACTGATTAGTCATATTCCTAAGTGTCTAACTTTTTATGATGATAACAACTTATCTTTGAGGTATGCATATTGTAATTAGTGCGACTCGGAGTATGTATGGACATATATTTTTTAAATCATGACAATACAGATAATTACTTACTTGGATCAAGGACAGAGCTTGTCATTTTAATTGTCTACATAAATATATTAAGAAATCAATGAGTCGAAAAGCTATAAAAATGAAACAATTTTTTTCAGATTCCTATAAAAGCTAAATGTGTAAATGTGCTAACTTTGTGATAATGTCAAGTCAATGGATGCGAGACATTTTCATGCAAAATTGTCGCTCCCATTTCATGGACAACAAAGAGCGGCTAGAAACCGCGCAAGCAGGCAGCCAACGATTTTTCTATTTAATCAGCAGGTTTGCAAATTTTTCGCCTTTTTTTCTTCGTCCTCTCCACTGGTTATTTAAAATTTTGAATTTGTACAAGTTTACATTTTAAAATTTACTCTGATTAACGATTCCAAAGGAACCACCTATTCTGACTCGAGTACCGATTTACATGAAAGGTTAGTTAATTGCCCTGAATTTGTAATTTTGAATCTGTATTCGATAAAATTAAGCAGAGCACGCATTTTTATTTGTTATTCATTATTAAAATTTTGCACTATTATTGTGTTTATTTCTAATTTTAGACCTAAATATAAATCGTTCCAGGATGAAGTTAAGGTCATCTTCTTCCCGAGAGGTGAAGATTTCTCAAAATTTCGGTAAATGATTCAAATTTATTCCAAATATTGGTTGAAAATTAAGTTTTTTTTACATTCTCCGTTTAACTCCTTAATTATAGATTCTCAAGGCGGGGATGAATCAGCAGTCGACAATATGAACCCGACGTCGAAAGCTTTACGGAATCCGTTAGTAAGTCGTCGAAATTATTAAAATGTTGCCTTTCTGATTTTTAAATGAATTTCAAACTTCCGACCGAATTTTGCTCAGATTCTGGACCTCATCCTCGCCCATCTATCCGACCTGACCGACTTGAAGAGGGCTCGTCTCGTGTGTCGAAATTGGGCCGAGGTCGGCGCCAGTTTGCTAGGAAAGCGGACCGCTCTCAACGTCAACAAGCTAATCCGCTACGATGAAGGTTCAAAAATGTATTTGGTGACCCCCGTGGCTGCAAATCTGATGCGGCGTATCTCCATGTTGGATAAATGCGACCCTTCCGTCCCCCATAATAAGGTGGCCAACGTCATCACCAAAGTTTTCGCCGAGCTCGGGCAATGTACTCGCGAAATCCACTGCGAAGTCACATATATTAAGTTCGTGACCGCTTTTTTCAACGGGTTGAGGAAGCTCAAAAAATCCAAGACGAATATCCAACACATTTCTGTAACCGTTTGGGTGATAGCGTTAAGTCTTGGGAAAGAGGGGTATCCGACGTTCACGAATAAACTACCCGTTCAAACTAACTTGACGTCAATCGAGTTCCAACTTTACGACCGGATTGGGGGAGGGAGCTATGCATTTAAGCCCCTCCTTCAAATCTTGCTGGACTCGGCACCTAATTTGACATCTTTAAAAGTCTGCTGGCCTTTTTACCCGAATTTGCAGGGTTGCAAAAATCTCAAAGTTTTCAAGTTTGACTTGGTATGGTGCGCTGCTTTCAATGTTCCAGACAAGGTCGCTGCGATCGGGATACTGGCGCAGGTTAAGGATACCCTGATCGATTTGGAATTAGGGTCGATCGCTGATGACACAGTTGACCTGCCACAGGTAAGAATTACAGAATGACTGAAAAACTATTTTTGGTGCGGTTTACAATAAGTATGCTAATTCTAATTTTCCACAGAGCCAGACTTTGGACGTTCCCGTGATGTCGAAAGTTGTCTCTGTCACCATCAGTCCAGCCGCAATGGATTCATTTTAAGACTTGCTTAACGAGGATCACCTCCCAGCACTGAAGAGCCTATTTCTCAGCGTCAACGGTCGCCCAGAGGCATTGATTTGGCCACGCCATCTAAATCTGTGGAAACGACATCGAGGAGTGAAATCTCTCAGGATAGAGCTGCTTCAAAGCTGGATGATGGAAATGGAAGCACACGCAATCGGGGGACAGATTGTCCGGCTATTTCCCTCCGTTAAGAAATTTGAGCTAATTTTGTGCCTATTGCTCAAAAGGAACATGTCCATCCAGGAAATAAACGAGATGTTGACGCCGTACCAAAACTTGGATCTGGAAGAGGCCAGCGTTCGTTGTGACAATGTTAGTGCATCCTCCGTGATGGTCGCAGTCCTGGAAAACGCGGCGAGTTGGAAAGGTAAGGATTAAATTGTCCAATCAGTGTTGAACATTCTTGGGTGCAAGAATTTGACGCCACCCAACGGTTCACCCTGTCCACTGGATGAGGTTTACTTCATGCATTTCTTGCACTCCTGCAAGAAATTATTCTAAAAAAAAAAACATTTATTGCTCAAGTAGTTTTTGTTACGGGTGACACTGATGACAATCAATCATTATTTTAACAAAGTTTGAATTAAGCATGTATTTATGTATTCCAGGCGTTAAAAATGTCCACTTCCGGCACGCTTGCATCATGCAGGACGACTTTTCTGCATCCATTCAAAATCTTATCTTACACAGCAAGGGATTTAAAAGTGTGAAAATCTGCGGCAATGCGGTACGTCAATTTTTAGTTTAAATAGCAATTGACACGAATTACAAAAATGTACATACTAAAGTTTTATTATAAATTCAGCTGCCGGAAATTCTGGAAGTGGTACAACCGATCCTTGAAGAAAGTGGTGCTCCAATTCATGTCACGGGAGGGGTGGTGCTGAATCAAGTTAGATATTAGGAAAGGATAGAAATTAATGCGTAGTTTTAGATTTTCAACGCTTAATGGGTCAATTTTCGTCACAACAGTGTGTATGTAACCGACACAAATTTGTTTTCTAAATGTTTAATAAATTTTGTAATAATAATTTAACGTCTTTGTCCTACTACACATTGCTTATTTGATTTTAAGAGTTATTTATTAGATATGTTTCCTTAGATCTAACGGGTTTTTGGTGTGTCTCAGTGAATAAATTATTATTATAAAAAATTTGGCTTCGCAGGTATCTTCATCCGTTTTTGAGTAATAAGTTTCAAAAGTAGTAGGGAAAATGTTACCAAATTAAATGAACACACTTTAATACCTCTGGCTTGAACCCAAGGTTGGCACGAGTTTAGATGAACACATTCGTAAATTACATAAACCCAATGTTCGATAACAAAGGTGTTGCAAATATTTATACAAAAAAACAAATCATTCATAAGTATTTAAGTACATAAAATTCCGTCATGGAAAACCAATATGTCAAATTAAACGATATTATGAATTATATTTAATTTATGATCAACATATGCTACATGATTAATAATTTTTCTAGGAAATTAACATTGTTTTTTTTCTCCACAATATTATGACCTTCAACCTTTTTATACATACATACATCCAAAACTAAATCTAATGCACCAAATTCTGAGAAACTAACTTTATTGTATTTCATACAATAATAATATCCGTTTGTAATCCAATCCACCCCAAAAACTAATTGCCTGTCATGAATTTATGTGCGGTTATTGCCACTAACAAAAACAGACCTCAATAAATCCATACAAAATTCAAATCCCTTTCCTAATATAAAGCGAATTCTGTCCGGTATCTCTTCAATTCGCAAAAATGTCTCTCCTTAATCTCACCTTGATTCTCATTCTTGCCTCCCAGCAGGCGTCGGCCCGTAAGCAAAATATTTTTTAAAAAACTTGCAAAATTTTCTCCACTATTTTGAACCTCTGTAATTTCAGAAAAATGGAACAAAGCCGACCTCACGAACTACTGGTCGTACCCGCCATGCTGTGACGACCCGAATTATCCTGACCAGAGCGAATGCAAGGATTACAGCGGGTGCAAGTATCGAGGACAATTTGCCTTCGTTTCCGGGACAAAATCAGAGTCCTGGGTCAAGGATAACAACATTATCGCCATTCACCACAAAGACTCGAAAAAGTATAAGTTGAAAACTTTCGAACTACGGGCGGACGGTAAAACGATCAAAGCGAAGGTTTATGACGAATGCAACGATAAAGATTGTAACAATTGTTGCACAAAGAATTCGAAAAAGACGAAATTTCTCATTGATATTGAACATAATACGATGGAGCGTTTTGGTGGTAAGGGGGACGGTATTGTGGAGTGGAGATGTGTCGATTGTTAAGTGTAATGATTTATTATAAACTTATTTAATTTGATATAAAATTTGTTGTGTAGTGAAAAGCCACATAAAATGCCATTAAAACTTTGGGTAACAAAAACAGACTAAAATTCGTACAAGTTAAATACAAATTCATAAATGCATACGAGTTTGCAGGTGCGTGTTACATACTTACAAAAACAGACATAACTCATGCATAGTTTATGTACATAAGTTATTCGTACATTAAAATTTTGCAGACATGACTAAATTGCAAAAATGTTCACTACATTAAATACGTAAGGATCACTCTACAATTAATCCTAAGTTACTTTTACCTAGATGACATGCACTTTAGCTAAACTGCATATTTATGTACAACGTCATTAAACATTATGATATTTAAATGGAGATAACGATGTTTTAACACAAGTCGATAAATTTCTGCTTCATGTTATCTTATTTTGTTCAGAAGCTCTTGTCTTGAATTATTCTGTTGTAGTTTATATGTCGCTGAAAGGTTCGCCAAAATGTCCAATTTCTCTCGAATATCTCGCACCACATCGTCAAGACCAGACCTGCAGGAACATTAAATTAATTATGTAAATAAATAACCTGAAACTTATTCGCTGGTCATAAATCGTGGGTTCGGTTTATTTATTGTTAAATAAATCTGCAAACAGACTTGCAAATAAAAAAACGTACGATTTCTGATAAATTATTTTGCCGGAATTTTAAAAATAATTTTAAATGAGTCGAACCCACTCATTAAAAGTAAAGTGAAACTCATTAATCTTAATTGTCGTATTAATTAACTTACTTATACCGATTATGGAAGCTTTCCTCGCGCTTGTGACTATCTAACAGGAGATTAAACCTTCTCTTAACTGCTAAATCGGTCACGTCCGTGTCAAACTCTTTGTTCACGAGGGATGAGATTTCATACCACGATTTGCGAGATTCACTACCACTCGCTAGGATTGGTTTTAATCGAGAAACATGCTCAATGAGGAATAAGTCTTTCATCTCGTTCCAGCGGAATTGAGTTTTTCTTAGTGATTTTCTTGTCCTGAGCCCGGAGGCATTGTCGTATTGGAAATCTTGGTTAAAATTCTGTACATTAATAATTTATGAATAAAAATGGTCACAAAATGTATAAAAATAATTAATCAGTAAGGTATCAATTGATTTACATCCTCGTTTTCTGAACCGCTCATAGAATCCGGGACGTGTTCAGCACCTGAAAATAAGTGATTTCATCAAAATTATCGTTGTTCAAAAATTGTTTCCAAATATTTCGTTAGAAGTTTTCCACACAAAGTTTTCTTGGAATAATGACTTTCCAGCAAGCAAATTACATTCTTCCTGATCGTAATTATGTTGCAAATAATGGCAAAGTGTCAAACGTTGCAAATATTTAACTCCTTTTTCATCTAATATATAAATATTTGCACACTTACACCTGTGCAGTCTACAATTTAAATATTTGCAAATATTTCCATAATTTAGAATATTATGTGATAAATAGTGATAATTTATACATATCAATAACTTTCCAGTCACTGAATACCTCCCTGATTATGCACAAGCTTGCCAAATATTCCAAGTATTTCATGTACATTTTTATTTTTTTGTACCTGTGTAATCTACACAGCGGAATTCCTCTCCTAAATGATCATTGTCGTCTAAATCAACCGCATAATCCTCCACTTTGACGAATTCCTCTTCAATTTCTTCAACAATTGTGTCACCCGTTCCATTATCAGGTAGAATGCTGGGCGTGCTCAATCCCGGAAATGGAACGGTGTCTTCGACGACGTACATTTTTTTCACCTCCTCCGTTGCGTCGTGTTCACCACAATAATTCCCTTCCCCCTTATCAAAGGATTGCTTCCTCTTGGCACGAATTCCTAAAAATTAGGAATTCGTCAAAAATAAGCAAATAGTTTCTTCATAGAAATGCAAATTAAGAAAAGTTAAAGTTAAAGTATAAAGTATTAACGTTTTTTGGATGAAGATGGCGATTTAACATCAGATTCCGGTGGCGGTGAGGTGGGTAACTTATCGGCAGTAACATCAGTACACAAAATACCTATCGAATAAAATAAAAGCATAAGTTACCTTTTAAAAACCTTTAAATTGATGTAAAATCATTTTCAAAATTTGTGTTAAAAAATTTATCAAGTTAGCTATGCTATTATATACTTAATTTGTAGTTATGTAAGGATCACTCTGACTATATATGAAAGTGGAATTCCATCTAATTATTAACTGATTAATTAAATTTGCTCTATGTATGTATCCGATCGTACTTCTAATCACAGATTTAAAGCCAGAATAATTAATATTCTCGACCATACACACATATTTAGCAATTATTTAACAAATAGTAAATACAATTACCAAAATCCACCACATCCGAAAAATGTGTCCATTTCGCCATTTGAGTCACGACCTCTTCCAATTTCGACACTCGGCGAAGTAGTTCCTCCATTTCTTTGAATTTGACCAAGTTATAGAATTTAATAGCAACTGTCGAAATATTACCGTTAAGTGAACAAATTTACGAGGAAAATTAACTATGAAGCAAGAAATAACGTGAAAATCCAAAATTGCGAATTGTGAATCGAGTAAACAAAAAGTAAACAAAAGTCAGCTTGCTTTTCGCTCACAGCTGGATCTCAATATTCCCCTCACACAAATATGCATAAAATCTCTTTGTTTATCTCGCTTTGTTTGTTTTACATAAATCTATTTCAGAGCCGCATTTCTAATCATTTTGGTGGAACAGGGGGACAGGGCCCCGTCAATTGTCTAAGGGGGTCATTATCCGCCCTTATTAAAATAATCTTGCGAAGTAAAAACATGCCCAGTGGATGGGTATGAATAACTTTGTGAAAAACATGGTTTTGATTTTCCAGCATAAGTTTCACAAAATCTCGCAAATTTCGCGCAAACTTTGCAAGTTATGTTGCTATCAAAGGATTTATTTATATGCTTAATTTGCGAGATGCATGACGTGTTCGAGTACGACACGGTCACAGTAAGGGGGCGTTCATAAATTACGTTCATGGTAAACAGGATAGCTAACTATGTAACGCAAAACTCGCGATTTTCTAGGCCCCCCTCCCCCTTTAACATGCATTACATTGGTACAATATTATTTGAGCCTTAGTGACGTATTTATGGATGTAAATAAGTTGTTTTAAGTTCTATAGGGGCCCACAAAAAGCATGTTATCGATTTTCGAGGAATGTATACCCCTACCCCCCCTGTATGACCTATATACCCCATGTTATAATTGACCTCGGAAAAATAGGATCTCTTGACCCCTACCCCGTTTCAAATCCATCACGTGGTTTCTGCACAGTCCCTTGGAGTAGAATGAAACCACTTCCCTCCATGAATGAGGGAGGGAAGTTTAAATAACACGTGGGGTGTCATCTGCTGATTTACATATTTTTCCACAGTTCTCCACATTTTTTGCTCATCTTCTTCCTTTGACACACTTCAACAAAAAAAGTAAGTAAATACTTTTTACGAAAAGTAGGAATAACTAATTTTCATCTGTGAGCTATTTAATCCAGTGTTTTGAAATTAGTAAAAGATGGAGCCAAACCAGTACTCTCACTCCCCCTGCTCATCAAATGACTTTGCAATGTTAGGTAAATAAATATTTTAATATTTATTATTTTCGGCTAACTTTTAAAGTTAAACAATTATATTAACGGGTAAATTGTGTATTCCACCAGCAATTATTAAAGCTGGTGACGACGAGGCGGCCGGTGGTATTAATGAGGGGAATAAAACTATCCACGCCCCAAATCCTCTATTGAATCCTATCGTAAGAAAAAGTTAATCCTCACTTCACTTCACTTTTTAATATATAAAATTTCATACTTTCTTCATAATTCAATAAATTCGACAGGTTCTTGACCTCGTTTTCGACCACCTCCCCGTCCACGAATTGAGGAATGCTCGTCTTGTGTGTCGTGAATGGGACAATGTCGGCGCGACCGTGCTAGGAAAACGGACCTTCCTCATGGCCACCAAACTCTTCCGCTACGACGGGACCAAGTTATCCGAACCGGCCTTCGTGGCTGACAAATTGCTCCGACGACTCAGCATCTCCTCGGGTTTCAATCGTTTCGAATTCGACCCCTCCGTCCCTACGGAGACGCGAGGTGAAGTGATCACCAAGGCCATCGCCGCCGTTCCGCGGGTCGCCCGACTCACTGAAGAATTGGCGGTTTGTCTACAGCATAAAAGTCATATGACCGCACTTCTCAAGGGGATTCGGAAGTTGAAGTCCACAAACCTCAGGAGCGTTTCTCTCTGCGTCAATATTGTGGACTCGTCGTGGGGCAAGAAATCTCCGGTTCTGAAAAAACTTGCGGTTCAACGAACCTTGACCTCTTTCACGTTCGAACAGCAGATTGATGACGACTACGCCTTTACTGTTCGTAGAAGCAGCTACAATCCTCTCACGTATCAACCCTTCGTCCAAATTTGGCTCGACGCCGCGCCCAATTTGACCGAATTAAGAATCTCGGCCAATTTTTATCCGAATCTGGAAGGATGCAAGAGTATTAAGGTTTTTGAATTCGAATTTATTGATATTCCCAATATGCGATTTGAGGCCGTGAACTTGACCGCTGTGGCCGGCATGCTGGCTCATATCAAGAACTCCGTGGTCGAAGTTAGCTTAGAGAATTCGAATAAAGTCGTTCACTATTGTCAGGTTAGCATAAAATATCTTTAAATATCTTTAATTTACTGATTTTATTGGTGATCATCATGTGATTATTATGTACACATCACAGAAAGAGAAGCTTGACCTTCCCGTCATGCCAAATTTGGTCACCCTTTTTGTCGCGGATATTTACCAAGTTCAGGATTCTTTGGATGAGATCCGCCTCCCAAAACTCGAGCACCTAACGCTGGACAAATTCTATGAAATTGAAGTATTAAGCTTATCGACGCCTCACAAAAACCTGTCGCAACGGCACCGAGGGATTCAGTCTGTCGATCTGATGATGAGAGGAATTGGCGAATGTGAAAATTTTTCGGAAACAATGGTCCAACTTTTCCCAAACGTGAAACGATTCGATTTTACTTGGTTTGTCGGTACGATCCCGCTTGAAGAATTTAGCAGGTTTTTGGAACCATTCAAAGCTTGGAATCTCGAGATAGCGAGCCTTCAATTCAGAAACGTAAAGAAACCTGCGAGTCAGACCATCTTGGCTGGACTTAGGAACATGGCGACCTGGCAGGGTAAGGATTTCACAAATTATGTATGCAAGTTATATGACAAGATAAATTTATATTTTTATTTCAGGCGAAAAAACAGCCAAGTTCTACTTTGATACCGACAGGGTTGACTTCACTGCTCATTTTGATGATTTTATTCGGTACAGCGGCGGCTTCGAGATTGTCAAAATGCGGGATGACTCGTGGGATAACGAATTTACGAAAGAGATGCAAGCCATCTTTGACGCCAGAAATGCTCCGATCAGTATCAAATGAGTTGTTCATTTAAAATGTAAGGCATCGTAGATCGTATTCGTTATTCAATTGTATGCAAATTAACTATCCGTACTTCAAAAAAACTAAATCCACCGACAATGTTCATTTGAAAATGATTTAAATTTATTGATTTTTTCAACAAACCTTCGAGAAAAGTCGGAACCGACACAGATTTTGTATTTGAAACAAATGTATTTATGTTTTTACCGTGACCCTTTTCAAAATGAATCAAAGTAGTTTTTATTTTAAAACTTTTTCAAATACGAAATAAAAGTAATCATGTAGAACTGCAGTTACCCTTTAAAACTTTTTTTTGCTGTAATGTAATCTGAATTCACTAGTCTGGAAACACATGTGCTTCCAGAACGTATGACTTATATGTTCGTGTATGTACATAGGTGATACACACGTCAATGACATAATGTCATGCAATTTTACATATACATATTAAAATAACACTTTCCGGTGTTAAAAGTTTAAATTGCAAACAATAAACTGTAAAGTTAAATACGTTACATGTAATAGTATGTATGTAAAAGTCATGCCCCGTTCTCCAAAAATTATTTGCATGCAAATTTTTGCTCTCGATCGGTTCGGTGATCAAAAAGTTGTGCAATTAATTTCCAATGGTTGAAGTATATTAAATACTGATTATGAAAAATGATTTTAATAAATTTTATTATCCAAATAAATACATAAACCACATAAGACAAATATTGTCGAATTTCTTGCGAATTTTGCATAGTATGAATTAATAATTCATAATATAATATAACATAATTCAGAATATATGTATTACTAGAAAAAGATTTTCCGAAAATCTATTTATTAATTAATCAATGACTAATAATCATATTATTTATCCATTTCTATCTTTAATTCGGAAGGAATAATTAAACATTCATAAATTATTACTGCAAAACCCATAAAATTTCAAATCGACGTCGATCAGAAGAAACAGCAACTGGAATAAAATTAATATTTCATATAAAAAATGCAAAAATAATTTTACACATATTCTTGTAATGTTGTCTAAAATATAATTGTAGTAGGACTTACATCCACATAAAAGCACAGCAATCCGGAGGCCTGTGTTCTTGATGTGGTGGTGGGGGCGGATTCCTTATAATTTCCTGCACTTTGTCAACAACCTTTCCCAATTCGGCACTAACTCCTTGTACACACGCTTTAAAAATCTGTACCTCATTGTCGAAATTTATCAGCAGGCGAGTCTGGGTGGCTAAATCCTGCTCCTTCTTTGCATTCTCCAGAATAGTATTTCCACTCCAGAAATGATCCCCGCCAGTTTTGAAGTATGCCGTGGTATCATCCACAAGCTGGTTTAGTTGCGCGTTGTACTCTTCCCAGGTTGGTGTCCTTAGATTAAAAGTTCGATCTTGCGCAATCAAGTTCAACAAGGTGCCTCTGAAGGTGTCCACCTCTGAGACTAAATCGTCCGCAGATGCCCTTAATGTATTGCTGCAACCTCCAAACAGTACCAAACTAGATTGCGGGTTTGCTTTACATTGCATCCATTTGGTTTGCAAGGCGAGAAATCTGGACGCCAGGGACGGGTTGTATGAGTCCAAGTCGTGTAAGTCACGTGCCACTGGTTTTTGCGTGGTGGTCGTGGTCGTTGTGGTAGTTGTGGTGGTCAATGCGAATATTTGGTTAATCGTGTTAGCCACGGTTTCCAAGCTGGTTTGAATTGTGGCTATGTCCCTCTGAAAATATGCGACTTCTTGGACATACTCGTTCATCCTAGAAATCCTGCCGATGTCGTCGGCGTCTTGCATGGTCTTCAATTTTGAGCGGGTTGTTCCTATTTTGTCGGTAGCGTGCTCAAAGCCCAGATCCACGTCTTCCACTTGGAATGGGAGTTTACTTTCTACGTCGTGAAGAGCATCGCGTAACTTGGGAAGGTCAAACTTGCCGCGGATATCGTTACAAAAGAGGTACAACTCTTGCGCGATTGGGGCAAGATGAGTAGCACAGTCTCGCAATCTGGCCAAGTTTTCGGGTCGATTGGCAGGGGTTAAGTTTATCCAATTAGCTCTGCAGGATGGCCATTGTGTCTTCAATTGGGCATATTTTTCCTCAATTTGACCCTGGAAAGTGATCAGCCTTCCCTCCCAAGGGGGTGGGGTTGTCGTGGTGATTGCGAAAATTTGATCAATAGTGGTGACTATCCCGCCCAAATTTGACCTTATGGTGGATACTGCTTTTTGAAAGTAGAATATTTCTTGTACAAATTCATTCATCCGAGCTTTTCTACTTGCCTCATCTAGCGCGGCCTGTATGGTTTTTAGACTAGCTTGAGAAGTTCGTACTCTCACGTCGCCCTGTTCGAAACCACCGTCGACGTTTTCCACTTGGGAGCCAAGATTACGTTCTAGATCGCGAACGGCATCGCGTAACGTGGGAATGTCCAACTTGCCGCGAATATCGTTGCAGAACTGTTCCAAGTCTGAAGCGATTGGTTCCATGGAAGCGGCGCATGCGCGAAGATGAGCCAAGTTCTGGGGTCGATTTGTGTCGGTTAAGAATATATAATTCTGTCTGCAGGATCCCCACTGGGTTTTTAATTGCCCGTACATCTGTACAAGTTCAGATTCGAAAGCTTCTATCTTTTCTAAAGAAGGCGCTGGTGTCGTCGTTGTGGTGGTCGTGGTCATGTCCACCCTTAAAGTTGCGATTAACTCGTACAAACGTGTCAATTGAGCCTGAACTGAGGCTGCTGTGAGAGCGTAATGTTTCATAGAGTCGGAAAATTTCGAAAATGTCTCTTCGTTAATAACCATCGAGTCAAGGTCGGAATTAAGCTGGGTTCCCGCCGTGGATAAATCGGAGCTCATAACGGTTCGAACCTTGTTGACCACGCTGTCCCATTCACCCCGGAGGGATGAAAGTGCTTCCGACTGTTCCAATAATGAAGCAGGATCGTCTTCTGGTTCGATCGGGATTGCGGTTATCAGCTGATTCACGACTTCTTTAGTTTGCTCCAAAATTGGGGCAAGCTGAGAGACACAGTTGTCTAGGAAGTCTAGGCTTGCGATGCGCTGTTCATACCCGCCAGTCTCTACGATACCGATTAGGACGTCGCATTGCCTCGTTTTTTCTTCCAACAGTCCAAAATTAGTTTGGACGCTTTCTTGCCGTTTCTGAATTTGGTACCCGTACACGGTCGCCATCATATTGTTGGACAGGCTGCCGACTTCCGCCATGCGAAAGGCGTACAGAACCAGCTCCTGTCTATATTTTGTATTGTCCTTTTTGTCCAAGAAATCTCCAGCTTTTTTAAGGATATCCGTCGCGTTGGAAAATGTTGAGCGGATTTTGCTCCAAATTTTCTGGATGCGATCCACATCAAACTTTTGATTCCAGGGGGACTCGTCCGTCTCGACTTTTTCGTCTTTTGGACAGAAGTCCTTTTGGAAATTTTTAGTGATCTGGGACGCGTCCTCGATGGAGAGGGAAGTCCCTTTGCCAGATTTTTGGGCGACTCGTTCAAAACAGCAGACCGTCTCGTCGGTAGCGTTTTTTAGCTGGGCAGGATTTTGAAGGGCGGTGGTCTGCAAGTTGTTTAGCTCTTTTTCACATTCTTTCAATTCGTTTTGGGTCGAATTGTTGTTGGCATCGAGGGAAATGTGACAATTATCGTCATCTTCTTGTGGGGCTGGGGCAGCCGTGGTTGTAGTCGTGGTGGTGGACGTGGTTGTTGGGTCCGTTGGTGGTGCCGTGACTGGGTCATCGCCTGAAAGTATAAAATTTTCGATTACAAAACAGCTAATCAGTAATTGGTTCAAAAAATATTTCTTCATTCAATGTAAAAATTTGGAAAAATATTCATTCGTTATTCGTATTATCTAAAATTTGTCTCATTTGACGGGCTTCTCAATATACCCATGGGGTAAAAAAATAAAAAGCAACTAAAAATTGTTCATTCATTCTTCGTTCTACGCGAATATGAAATGAATAAATATTTATTCAGTATTCGTTCAGACAAAATTTTTGAAAACAAATCATTCATGAATTTATTGAATAATGAATGAATAATTTATTCATTCTGTATGAAATAAATGAATGTGAACATGTATGTATGTATGTATGAGTATAAAATTGTAGTTAACGTACCATGATGGGGATCACCACCCCACGGAAAGTTGAGTGGGCTGAACAAGTCGTTAATCCAACAGAATAGGAACAAATACCAGGGACAACCCCCTCCGCCCCCACTTCCGTGTCCGCTACTTCCGCGGTGTGAAAAGTCACCCGTGGTCCCCTCGTAAATTGCTTCTTTCATCACTCCGCACGTGTACTGGGCCATTTCGCCAACCAGTTCTTGCGTTCTGCCATAAACTTGGATGTCCTGTTCCCATTTGGCTAGCACGGTGTGTTCCTGATCTGGCGGAAATCCACCCGCTATGAGTTTCTGTAATGGTTCCCCGGCCGTTTGAAGTTCGCCGCCACCGCGTAAAATAAGAAGATTTAAATCCATACTGTCCTGAGTGTCGTTTAACATGAGAGCGGGAACAAGTTCGTCGCACGTTCTTGGGTTTGCTGGGTAATAAATATAATAGATAAATTTCTCTGAAGCGGTTAGCTTATGTAGAAATTTTTTATTTAAATTGACACCAGAGTTGAGCCGGTTATCCGACTTTGGGATGAAGTATTCATCCGAGCTGAATTCGAGTCATTCGGTTTACATAAATGGATATTTTTTAATAAAAAATCGGATTCAATTCGGAATATTCTTGAAGCCGGAATATTCGGATTCGGTTCGGATCAGGCAAACCGACTCAACTATAGAATTGGGTAGGTTATCCAACTTTCGACCTATCTATCCGAATCATTCGGTTCGGCTGGATATTTTTTAAGCGAAAAATTTGGATTCGGTTCGGACAGATAGCCAAAGTGTCCAGCCGGCTCAATTCTGATTGAAACCCATCTTTTACGTATACTTACAGGTGCAGATGGTGTCCAAACTGGTCTCATTCCATCCATAGAGGGACAACCCAGATCTCACGCAGCTACACGTGCTCTCCTCCATGCGTTGGAGTTGTTGCACGCAAAGGAACAAGTTTTCCAGAGGTTGCTGACCGTCTGCAGCTTTCCAATTTTTGCACAGTTTAAAAACTTCCAACAATTTTTCTTCCTCGAAATAGCATTGCTGTTGAACTCGCCAAACGTCGTCTTTATTTGGAAAAATGGTTGAATTTTTGGGGTCCTCCGACTTCGAAATTATGAATTTTATCGAGCCGCAAATATGATCTGCTACGAGGCCAAGTTGTTCCTGGCCGGCGCCATAGTCTTGCAAGATATTGTTCCACTGCACCAAAATATTTGGCACGGACTGTGCCGCCATCGTGCGGTAGAGTGGGTTGCCAGCTTCATCCAGGGTTTGGCCTAGTACGTAGGTCAGATTTTGCAGGGTGTTTATTTCAGAGTTAATCCCTGTTGTGGTATTTGTGATGGGGCAGGTGTGCGATTTTACTGTAATGCGATTAAAATAGTTTGTATATAACTTTACTTCTATTGTCACAGTTAACCTCTGTCGTACTTCTGATTTTTTACAAATTTTTCTAGGGTCGATTTCACAATTAGGTAAACCACTTAAAATTTTCATGATTTCCTATACTTAAAAAATTAATATTTATTTCGACGAGTTTCCAGTTTTGAGTTTTTTGACGAGCAACGAGAAAACCCTTTTTAACATCGGTCGAATATAGGGAAAATTCCAAAATTTGAGAAGAAAATAATAAAAAATCCAGTTTTAACCATGAGTTTTACTAAAAATACGAAAGAACTATTCTTATTTTGAGAAATTTTGGTGTCAGGGTAATTTACGCAGTACACAATTTTGTGTATTTCGTCCTCAAGAGGTAAACTACAATAAATGACCCCAATAAAAATATGTACGTACGAGGACAAACAGCACTCAATTCGGTTTCCTTCAAACCAAACAGTTTTAGTCCTTGATGAGCACACGAGCACGTGGCTTCCTCCCAATTTAGCACTTGTCGAATGCACACCAACAAGTTCTGCGCTTCGCTGAGATCATTCGTCTTCGTCAAAGGGTGACACTTTGTAACCTGAGCTGCCAATTGAGCCTGCGAGTACCAACAAAGTTGCTGGATTCTCCACACTTCTGGGAGGAATTTGATAATGGATGACTCCAGAATTCCACACGTATCTCCACCAAGTTGCCCCAACTTCTCGATGGTTCTTCCGTATTGGAGGAGACCTGTGGAAACAGATTAATGAAATTTAACTGACGTTCAAAATTTAGCGGAAACTAAGGAAATCTTAGTTTCCTAGGTCCCCTTAGGGAAGGTTCATAAAATACGCAGTGGAAAGGGAAGGAGAGGTCTGCTATTGCGTTACAGACCAACTTGCGCTATATTTTAAGACTGTGTGTGACGCGTTAGATGGGGAAGGGAGCGGTAAAAAATCGCAAATTTTGCGTTACGTACTTTATGAACGTTCTCATGCATGAACGTAATTCTTTGACTTCAATATGGTTTTTAATTAGCTTGACAATGTGATATAAATAATTGACTTTGACATACCTGAGGACCAAGTTTCCAAGATACTCCCCTCATGAACTTTATCCAAGGAAGGGTCACTAATCACAAGCTGAATAGAATGGTTTGCTTCTGCCAAATGGTTTTTCGCTTGGGACAGGAGACTCGCCATTGCAGCAATTTTCGTTAACACGTCGTTCTTGTTCGTTGTCGTTGAATTACCAGGTAGACGACAAGATCTCACCTTATCTACGTACGTTTTATTACGCAATTATATCGAATGTTTCAAAAATGATATGCAGATAATAACTAACAATATTTTAATAGCGTAAATGTAATTGCCAATCAATAATTTTCAAACTTCCCAAATTTAGTAACTAAAAACCTTACTACATACATATGTAAATCTTATAAAATTAAGATGCATTTTTTACAAAAATTTTACGAACTTTTTGTACTAATAATTATGCATGTTTAAAGGATTTTAAGTTGTTCTGCATTTTTTAAAACAAACTGGGGAAATTCATTCAGTCTTTGGTAATATTGAAAAATGCGTAAATTCTGTAAACTCACAAACTTTTACAAACATTTTTAAGAAAAATTAGCTAACACATTTTCATAAACTTACTCAAATCAAGAATGTCTCTTTATTTTGTGAAATTATTTTATGAAACTTGCGGATTTTACGAGTTACATAGCAAGAAATGCGTGAATTTTGTTTTAGTATTTTATACCAAATTCAAAAATTAAGCTGGAAAATTAAGTACATACCTGAGCAGATTGCATGCGGGTCGGAATCATCCCAGGTGAAGCTGTAGAACAGCATTCCTGCCTTGACGCATCCACAGGCAGCCTCCTCCAGACGCAAAATTCCATTCACACAATTCAATAAATTCGTCAAACCGGACAAATCTTGAAGGCTTATTATCCCTATGCATTTCTGCATTTCTTGGTCCAACTGGTCCTCCACTTTATCGCAATATTTCTGAGCTTCCCAAACTTTGTCTTTATCTGGAATCACGGAACCTCTACTTGTGGTCGTGGTGGGTGGGCTGAGCGTCGTTGTAACCCAGGCGGGCAGTGTGTAGGCGGTCGGTTCGGTGGGGAAGAAGGGGGGCGGGGTAAAAATCCGTCCGAGATGGTGTGAGTCGCCATCCTTCTGAACGACAACATTCGTAACGGCCACAAGGGCGGGAAATATAAATTTTTCCCACATCTTGACTGCTCAAAGTGTGGAGTAAAAATGAGACTAAAAGTGGTACGGGATTAGTTTTATTTGCTGAAATTTTGCTGACTTTTGCGCAAAAAGTCGAATGGACCAGGAAGAGTTTTGGAACGGGTGGGTGACCTGATTTTGTACGGATTCATGCAAAAATACGCATTTTAAGATGAGTTACATATTTATGTAGATTGACAAAATAACTTGTTGTTAAATTACGTAAACGGGGTAAACGTATAAATGCAGGAAAAGGTAAATTCAGCAGTATTGTGAAGAAATGAATCAGTAAAGAAGTGTTTAAAGGCAGTAAAAGCTTATCGTTGTTTGATGAATGAGAGGAATGATGGATCGCATTCAGTGTATGCATACGTACTTATGTTTATAAATATGTACTTCTTCTTTCCACAAATGAGTCAACTTGTTGGTAAGATTTAAATAGACGTAGTTAGGAAGATACATAATAATATAACTTAATTTGCAATTCTATGCAAAATTTACATTTGGCAGGTTATATATTATGTGAGATGAATAATGTTAATGTCTAAGCAATTTGTTTTTATTTTGGAGAACAAGAACTCATTATGTAAATATGAATAGATATTTAGATATGGACAACTTATACGGACGACTCATACGGACCCATATGTACATGAATACAGGGTATCTAAACATAAGTAAGATAACTACCTGTATATATGTAAATTTGTACATGTCAGTAAATTAGAAAACATCATGGATCAAAATCTTGGCATAAAGAGCATACATAAAACACAAATCACGAAAAAACCAACGTTAGCAACCCTTGTTAAAGCATTTGTTTCTTGTACATATTTATGTCAACAAGTGTTTTGTTATTCATTCATTTCAGACCGATAAGGCGATTGCGTTTTTCGTTGACAAAAAATTTCTATTTGTATTAATGTTTAAATGCCCAATTTAAGCAAATGGGTGCCCATTCATAAAATATTTAACGATATTTTGGTAAATAATATCCACTAAGTTTTTATTCTTCTTTTCTTTTGTCATTGTCTTAAATCTTGTCAACTCATTGTCCTCAACTTTGTTTTATTTGTATGCTGTAAACTACAATTATCTTCCAGGCCTCTCTATCCATCTTCCAGTTTTGTACTTCCACTTATCATTGAAAGTCATAAATTTTATTCAATTTTCATAAATACATTTTCTCGCCACCTCAAGAAATTTACATTCACAACTTATAGATACATATAAATAAACTGAAGCGTCTCAACATGCACAACTATTGATAAGGTCAACCCTGCCATTTTGCCCAGACAATGTCACGCCACTGGGTATGTACGTATGTACTTAAGTAATAATAAGTACGTCCATACATACATACATGAATAACTACTGATAAGGCCAACTCTTAACAAAACAATGCCACTTGCCTTTATCGTACGAGACATTCTCGTACGACAAACGTATTGTCGTCGAGAATGTGTGATAATGAAATCAATTATAAATAATTCACCTGGTCTGGGTCGCACTTTGTACCACTTGTCACACACGCCCAAAATACCATGTCCTTCTTCAAGTGTTATTTAATTGTTCTCGTACCACCAGCCATCACCACTCAGGATTTCACCACAACTGGACACACACGTCTGAAATCCTCCTCCTGAAAAAATATATTTTAAAATGACATTACTTCAGGCTATTTTTGTCGCCACGATTGCCACCACCATTCTGGGCGCAGAAGGTTTCAAATCTGTCCTGAATTTCCTATAATATTTATTACACTCTTAGAAATCCAGTATCAAAATAATACCAAACGGTATTCATGTATGACTCTGCTAAGGTGGTATTGATAAGTAATACGGTATAGTAAAAAGCTCGGTTTAAAGTTTTACCATAAATCGGTAGAAAACTTTTACTATTCGATATAATTTTAAAAACAAGTGGTATATCAACTAGTGGTATAAACTTTATAACAACAAGTGGTTTTAATAACAACTTTAATACTGAGACATCAATACCTGCGTGACTTTACCAGATTTCTAACAATGTACTTAAATGCACACAGATTAATAGCAAATAAAACCTTCCAGGGCAATGGGTTCCCCTCCCGAACGTAACATATGGCCCGGAATCCCGTCAAGTGGTCGACATCTATTTGCCCTCCTGGGACCTTGAACCCATCACCAAGGTCATCATTCTAATCCACGGTGGGGCTTGGGGTGCCGGAGAGAAGGAAGGCATGGACGGCTGGCTTCAATTTCTCGCCACCGGTTTTCCAACACACATCATCGCAAATATGGGCTACCGTTTGGGGACAGCGGAAAGTCCCGGGTTTCCCAAGCAGTTAGAAGACATCTCCCTCGTGGTGACCATGCTGCAGAATGTTCTCCCCCAGAACGTCACATTTGCCCTGATCGGAGGTACTTACATACCCTCTTAGAAATCCAGTATTAAAATTATACCAAGCGGTGGTAATATATGACTCTACCAAAGCGGTATTGACCTGTAATACCATGAAGGATGGAGCTTGTCCGTGTCAAGCCGGTATATGTCATATTTGTCATATTTGTAAAATTGACCATCCAACTTGTCACAATTTCAAAGAGACCGACATTTCTGGAAAAAATTGGGCATTTATGACAATTTGAACTTGTCATATTCGTCACAATTTTTAGATATCTAAAAAATTATACATTTCTGACATGTCAATTTGTCAATGACCCGACAAATTCCTAGCTCGGTAAAGTTTTGCCATATCGGTAGGAAATTTCTACTGACCAGGGTGCATAACGTTAATACCAAGCGGTAGCAACTCTACTACCGAGAAATCAATACCTGCATGACTATACCAAATTTCTAACAGGTAGCGCTGGTGCCCAGTTGGCCATGCTTTACTCGTACGCGTACGACCGCGAGGCCCAACAGGTCAAAGTGGTCGTGAGTCATGTCGGTCCGACGGATTTTACGCATTCGTCCTACACCGCGAATCCGCTTTTCCTCGATTATTTCGTCAACCTGGTGGGACCCTGCAGGTACACGGAGTGCCCCGAGTTGTACAATGTGACCAGTCCGGCCACCTGGGTTTCGGAGAAATCCGCTAAAACAATCGGGTTTTACGGGAACAGAGACTTGCTCATTCCAAACGCACAAATGCCCATCATCCGAGATAAGTTGACCGAGGCGGGCGTCACGAATAAGTTCACGGTGTACAACGCTGGGCACGGAAATTGGATCGGGGCTGATTTGCTGGACGAAATGGATCAAATTGTCGAGTTCTTGAGGGATAATTGGGACTGAGGGTGATTTGTTTAAGGTAGAGTTTCAAGTTTACAAAAATTGTATAACTTACCTAATTACGTTGAATTATTGAAGACATAAACAAATTGGATATTCATGAATAAATACTTAAATATTTGAATCGCATTTTGCATGGTAATCCTATTGATCGTTTATTGAATTCATTGCATTCATTCGTTCATAATGAGCTTAATTATCGCAACGTTTGCAACACACGGAACCCTCTTTGTCCAGTGAAGAAAATTTAATCATTGATTACAAATCAGCGTGATCACCTTTCCTCCCACAATTTACGATAACACGTGCACATGGTATGTATAAATATGTAAATGCATAAGGGTATGTGTAAGTACCTATGTATGTATTTACATAAATACATACATACAGAATAGATATACGTACATACAGAACAGATATACGTACATACAGTACATTACTGGAGCAAAATTCAGGACCGTGTACATACATATGTACCTAGTACAGATATTTATATGTACATTCAGTACATATACGTTGTACGTAGGTATAAAGTTACCTGCATATATGTATGTATACGTAAGCATTAAGTGAACCAGGTTTTGGAATTTACAGTACAACTCGTTTACAAATCAGATTATTTTTAAACACATCATGATTCCGTTACCTGAAACCTTTTGAAGTTAAGTTGCAACCCTTTTCTAAACCATTTTTGAGGATTTAATTCCGTGTGTTCAGTGAGTAGCAGACCATACAGTCACAATCATAAGTCACAATCCAGTTCATCTTGGTTGCATATCTACATAAAATTTACTGTACTTCTTGCAAACATTGTGATACACTACGTTTGAAAAAGATCAATTTGTTGAGGTAGATAATTTCACAGACTCTCTTAAAATAGTTTATCGCAACCTTTCTTTCGCAAACAGTTCAATTAATTAATTAATTAAATAGTTTCAATTAATTCAGGCAATTTTACATCTTCTTTCCGTTTTTTCAGCGTCCTTACATAAACGTAAACGTTGAACATGGAGAATTCTACCCAAACTTGTCACTTAATTTCGTACCTGCCCGAGGTATGTAATTGTTCGCTTGATTTTAAAACATTTATTAATAACTATAAGACAGCGTACTCAAGTCAACCTTTGAATATTTCTCAAATTAAGGGTAGCAACATAGCTTCCAAAGTTTTACGAAATTTGCGAGATTTATCAAAATTTTTCCTGGGAAACGGTGTCATTCTTTTCGAAAATTTACCTAGCAAATTAGCCCACTTTTATTTCTCAAATTCAACCTCACCATCACGACCTAGAGAAATTATAAAGTGTGTCATATTTTGTGAATTCAATCACAACATCAATTTTTTAAGCTTCGCAAATTTGCTGAATGAGTTGCAATGGGAAATAATACGTTGTCGTCGTGAGTACATATATGTACGCTCACAGTGAAATAAATTTATTACACACAAACTTTAATTTTTTTCAGATAATTTCCAAAATTATGGGGTATCCCCCAGCAAAAATACAGCGTAGGTTCCCATCTGCCTATTAATGCCACACATGAACCTACTAGTGCCAACTGGAACCTACGCTTTTTCCATATAGGAATTGTCCAATAGGAAAATTCGAGCGAAGGATCCTATTTGACAAATTTCCCCCTATGGTTTCCCACTGCTACCTATGGGATCCACAATTTTTTTTCAAATATGCCAACGAAAATTCCATTTCGAATTGGAAACTTAGTGTATTTATTCTTATCGGAAATTAACCAATGAGTAAATATGATTTTGTGCATATATATGTACGTATCTGAAAATCAAAACTCTTGTATGTAATTTCATGAAAATTATTATTTTGTTAACAACTTTAAGTAAATTTATTCTTGTGATTAATCTACTTCGAACAAATTAGGGACTTCAATATAAAAATATTCGTTATTTATAACACAACTAAAATATTTTCTCGGTACAATTTCGTTAAAATTCATTATTTCGAAGGTTGACTTAACATTGCGTTTGCATTTGTAGATATGCGGGAGCCCAACCAATTCTGTCACTTTAAAGCTTGACACTTGTACGAAATAATTCTCAGAAATGATTTCATCAAGTCGACTTGTTACTTTAAAGAAAGCTTGCATCCTACCCAGCACGCCTGCGCGAAGGAATATGAGATTATCGCAACGTTTTGATGTAAATTTAGTAGAAAACGAATAGTAATTAATTATTGCTCGTTTACTTTTACTTAAGCTAAAAAACGTATGCCCTTGGGGTATCATGTTCTCAAAAAAATTACACGATGCAACCGACTTCGGATTTTTAATTTCATGCAAATTTTTTTGCAAAGCGCCTGACTTGACCCCAAAACAAATATTGTTACTAGTTTTTGTTAGCAAATTATTGACTTGAAGTTCATTAGCAAATTTCTCACACACTTGACATAAAACACCTGTTGCACTTTTGACATAATTTAGTAGTTTTCCATTAAACGATTCGAATTGAAAAGCAGAACTATTCCACAAAGGTCCCCATCGCCGGACAGTGTTACTAAGGTGTTCCAATTGATGAACATTAAAACTATAAAATGTTTCTCCGTACAATGCTAGACCGTCTCGTAAAAACTGCAAAATGCAATTCTCACTTTCGTCTAACTCAATTGAAGTGAAAGACTGTTTAGAGGAAATGAATATAGCTCGGCTGAGACATGAAATGTGAGCTAAGTATGGTTCGGATAAGATATTTTTTAATATCACTGGGACCAGAAATAACCAGGTTCGCCATTCTGATGCCTTCCAATGTGTTCGAGCCATAATAGATCTGCAAGTGCGGACGACTTCTGATGGCGACTTAAATCTGCACAAAATTTCGTCAATTTTATCTATGTGCATGCCAATTGACCAAGCTTTGCCAATGCCTTTTAACCATTTGTTGGTCAAGCTACGAATGACACCTAGGAAGACGCAATGCATGCAATCAACACTAAATCCGTTTACAATATCAAATTGTTCTAAATTTAATAATGGGCTATAAAATTTAATACCCTTTTTAAATTTCCCTGTTTCTGCTAAACGCCGATATGATTCTGGCGTTCGCTCTTTATATGAAGTTGAACTAGGTAAATAAGCACGACAGTGACCTTTGCCTTGCGGAATAGTTTTACCTGGATTTCGACACCAATTGCAGCCATACTTCCCATTAAACTGCGTGTGACCTTGTAGCATGCATCTAGCTACAGAATCAACCGAGCACAAAGGGAAAAATACCTTACTAACAATTCTAATCCCTTCATGTGAACTCCAAATTAACGGAACTTTACTTAAAGAGTTCATTTCATCAATGACAGCTGGAAGAAATAATTTCATATTTGGTTTTGACTGTCCAAACCAAATTCCTGCAAGAAGAATGTTCTTCTTCCTAACCCTAAATGGAAGCTCGTTTATCGATATTTGAACAGGCCATAAAGACGAATTGCTGCTATTAAAAACCGGAACCCCATCTATATTAAATGTGCATGTAAGATCGTAGGGCGATTTGGACAATTTCATGTAGTCGAATCCTGATTTGATACTATTATAATCGGTATCTAGTGATAAATTATGTGCGGAACTAATAATCAAACCTTTAATCTGACTATTTTCTAGCAACGTTAAAAACTGCTTGCGAAGATCCATAACAATAAAATAATGCCCTAATTTTTTGAGCTTTTTTCTAGTATATATGGTATTACAAATCTGGCAACGGTCGTAACAATCTAAAATTTCTTGACATTGAACGCAGAAGTAGTGCCGTTTTGTCCAGTTTTGCTCAAGTGACGCTTCCTTTTTTAAGCGATAAAACGACGACGGATAGTCAGCACCATGAGGAACGTGGCAAGCAATTAGTTTGACGATATCAGCCGTCGCGGCTTTGGTCAAATTATGTGCAAGAGAAAGTTGGACGACGGCTGCGACACTTTCCTCTTTTGAAATTGAAGAAAAGGGGTGAATTGGGTCAGCAACCTGAAAAAGCAGTTGACGATTTATGACATGAATTTCAACACGGCGTATAATTATTATTTAAGTTGACTAAAATACCGGGCATTTGCTTCCTTCGTCATCATTAAAATCGGAGAAGTTGAAATCTTCCAGGCTGACCTCGCTTCCACTAACGCTCGACAGGTCCCACTTAGGTAGTTCCGGATGCATTGAGTCTGCAGTTTTAAATAAATCAATAAAGTGCGTCAAAAATATATAAAAATTGCACCAATTCCTGACACCTTCTTTGTGTTCACTGGTGTAAACCCTTTCTTCTATTATTCCTTCTTCTGACTCAGACGAATCAGTGAATACATCATTCATTTTTCGTCGCTTTCCATGCTCCGATGATATCTAGTCAAGTACGTCAAAATTATTATAATTTCGATGAATAAAAAGTGAAGAATATTATGATGCTTTTCATTATTGGCTTACCTTTTTAAACAACGAACAACTGACTTTCCTGGAAATCTCCTGCCTTCTCTTAATTTTGGTGAATGTGTGTTTGAAGGTATTCATAATTTTTATATTTGATCTACTCATTAAAAATAGTTACTTTTAAAAGTATTACGAGAAACTGGAGAGTACTGGGCACCGGCTGTAGTGTTGCCGGACGGGGCCAATTGAGACACGTGGGGCGGCAAATGTCGGTGGGAACAACATACATCTTTTGATTCATAAATTCCAACGTGACGGTTACACCATTTTTATTTTTAATTATTAGCCCTTGTATGAAAATTTCTGAAAATGAAAAGTTTTGTCGTCATTCATTGGGTAGAAGAAAATTCGTACTCACTCGTATCTCTTAAGAACGTGGAGCTTGGGGAGAAGACCGTCGATCAGGTGATCCACAGTACAGTTAATGTACGAGTCGATAAGCAAGTACTCGAAGGTGTAGTGATGGGTATTGGTAAGCGCATTTCTTAACTTGTATGTAGTTATCGGAAAGTAAACTTTGAATACTTCATAATAAGCATTTAATACCCTTGCTAATTCAATTTCAGGGCCCAAGAATCAGATGAAGAATATGCAGAATACTTTGGCAGAGGAGGCGGCAAACAAATCGTTCTTGGAAAAAAGTGACAATCTGGCAGCAAGTGTGGAGCAAGACAAGAACAAGGGGAACGGCACCCGGTCACGAAAAAGAAATCGTCAAAACTCTGAAGGCGAAGAGGAGCAGCATAGCCTGATTCTTGCTCCAGGTTCCGGGACGTCTGAAGCTGCCATCAATAGAGAGGTAAATGAGGAACATGCTGTGGCGTTTTAAGTAAAAATTATGAATTTAATTAACTTATTGCTCCCTAGGAATCACTGTCCAACAACAACGACGAGGAGGTTGAAGTCAGTAGCCTTGAGGAAAGAAGAACAAATTTACTGAAGGACCAACAAATTGCTCTTCTTCTAAAGGAGAATTTTGAGTTAAAGAAACACGTGGCATCCTTAAAGAGTATGTAATTTTTGCATAATTTATCTATTGGCCTTTCATATTATATATTGTGGTTATTAAATTTGGGAAGGAATTGTCAAGCGAGCATCGTCAACACCACAACCTGAAGGGGTAGACGAGGTTATTGAAATTGCGGATGGGATTTTCTTAAACCGTTCATTGATCGAATTATCGAAGATCAGTTACATCAACCGACCTTCCGTATTCCGAAACGAAAGCTGTTGTTCGAGGGAGGAATTTTCACGTTGGAAGAAATTGCTTCTTCTTCTTTGACTGGAAAAGTATCTCCACTATTTCCAGCAACTCAGCGATGTGCAATGGATCCTGTTAGATTTGGAGCTTTAAAAGGTACGAATCTTGATTTTTAATACCTTCAGAAAGACATCTCGAAATGTTGAATTAATTTTGTTTTTTATTATGCATTAGAATTTACTATTAGGACTTGCGGACTCAAACCAAATTCAGTTGAGTTCATTCTGTTTGAGCAAAAACTAAAAAACATCCCTGGTGATGCTAGGAAAAAACTTTCACGAGCAAAGTAATTAATACTTAACTTGTACTAATGTTTCTACTTGTTTATACGCTAATTTCTTTATAATTCAATCTGTCGAATAAATGGTACATACATCTGTAAGTCATACAATTGAATTTTCTTAATTGTTTTAGTAAGAATTTAATAGAAAAACAAGTGGGAATAAATTTCATTTGCCAATGGGAGTGACGATGACGCACCTATATGAATATAGAAAATGCACCAGTAGGAAAAAATAGGTAGTGACATGAGTTTACACATAGTTCATATGGGAATTTTGACATGGGAACCCGTATTTTCATAAAGGTTCCGGATATCTGGATTGTTTCCACTTTCATAAACATTTTCCCACTGGATCTTACATATATGTACCAGTTGGACTGTTTTGCTCGGGTCTCCCCACCCCCGACTTAGAATCTGCCTCCTTGGTCAACTCCACCTGGGAGGAAGCCGCTCTGAAGCACCTCCTCTTTCGAAGCCCGGTCGTGGTCCACCTCCACAACATCACCGATTCCACGGACCTTATCCCCCTGGCGACCTTATCGCATCCACACCTCAAACTATTTATATCCGACCCCGACGACTGGCCTCCATGCAGCGTCAAAAATGTGGAAACTTTACCGCTAAAAATACATCTATTTTCCTCCATTAATTTCTCCTCCGCGACAAAATTAAGCCTTGATCTTCCCCTCTACAACTCTTTACGCCACGTGGCATCTCATTTGGTGCAAATTTTGGAAAAATCCTTCAAAAAGTTGAGATCTCTAAAATTGCAATTGATAATAGTCAACCAGAAAGAAGCCCTGTCTTCTGCGGAAGACTGGAACGAATTATTTCCCGACATCATGATTCCCCACGTGGCGAAAAAATTGACCACTTTGATCCTGCATGTGCCCTCCGTAGGCCCCACAAATGTGGAGGGACGATGGGAATCTGTTATCTGCCTGATAACCCGAATTCTTCGGATTTACAGGCACGTGAGGAAACTTACCCTGTCCGACGTGCCGGGCGGGCTGCTTGAAGAAAATGATGTCACATTACCCCATCTCGAATCAATCTCACTGCACACAAATATTATCCTGAAGAACATGCAAAATCGGCATGCATTGCAATTCTCCAAATTCGATGCCCCACTGAAGACAAATTTCGCAAATGTGACTTCGAATTTAGCGTTGGAAACAATGATGTCGTCGAGCTTTTTCGTCTCCTCGCGCCACAGTTGGAGCACGTGTGCATCTCCGAGGTGGGAAACCTAACCCCGGTGTCCTCACCCGAGTTGCCCATGCCCACCCCGACACACACCACGGTACCGATTCTGCCGAAACTAAAAGTTTTCGAAATTTTGAGAGAGGAAAGTGTACCTTGTTATATTCATGATCACGGTCTGAAATGGTTTCGACCAGATCTTCACTTAAACTTTGAGACGGGGACGGATCACGTTAAGTTATCTTATCGGAGACAATTTCCCATCCTGGAGAAGCTAATTGTGCGCGTGGTGCCGGAGATTATTCATCCCTATTTGCGGCAAATGGTGAAAAAGCCGCATGAAAATTTGCATTTTGAGGCGACCATGCTTCTCCTGTATGGATCATTTTTGGCGGAAGGTCTCGAGCCGTGTGGGACGTTGAGAAATTTGGAAATTTTCATCCCCACGGGAATTCAGGTAGAATTATACAGATATGTTGTAGCTGTTCATATTCATTTATTCAATCTTGATTTTTCACCCTATGTATGCGTAATACTTGGGGAATCACACTAATAAGGGGAATTTGAGATAAAATTTGTAAAAAATTAATAATGAATATAAATTTACCTTCAAATTTTGAATATTGAATGAATAATTGTTTTCAATTTTAAATCAAGTGAATTTTGAATGAAGACATACTTATTTTGTAAATAGACGCAGGTGGGAGGGATAAAAATGTGGCGGCGGTGCGGGTGCGATGATGAAGTGGAGATTTGCAAATGTTGGGGGTGGAAGGAAAACGAGACAGATTTTTATACCAGGATTGCCAGCATTTTCCCCAACGTGGATTACGACGTGCTCGAAGGGGGGAGGAGAACCGTGCGAGCGGTGAAGTTGAAGGAGTTGGGTGTGAACTTTGGTGATGAGAGAGGAATTGATAGGATTTGATTACCAGAGTGGTGTGTGTAATTATTTTAAAGGGGATCAAGATTGTATGAACACATTTACGTTAAATTGTGACGGACAAAATGAACAGTTATGAATAAATAAATATTTAAATCGCATTTTCGCAATTAATTCTTCATTATCGCAACTCATGCATCACTAACCCTGCTTGTCCCTATACATACAGACAATTCTAATGTTGAATACCAATCAGCGGCATAACCTTCCCCCCATCGATAACATGTGTACAATGGTAAATTTTAAAAATTCGCCTTTATTTACATAAGTATAAGGTTACTTAACGTTAGGTTAGGTTTATGGAAATTAAATAAAATTAGAAGCGTTGGCCTAATTAGGATGTAAACTGTTAAAACATGGCATGTTGCTTATTTGTGTGATAAGTATACTTATCACATTACGTATACGTAATGTTAAGTTAGAGTTGTCTTACATATCTCATCCTGGTCATTGTTACTGTAAAACTTACATGCATTAGTTTTATTCATTGTTGTATCAATTGAATTCGCAGATATGGTATGTGTACATTATTATAAACTTGTTTACACATACATATGTACATACACATGCATATGTATGTAAATCAGTGCAATAAAACTTCAATTCAATCCTATGCATACAAAATAATCTATATCCATCTGCTTATTTGCATATTTAAATAAATGAAGTCACTTCCTAAATAATTCTCAACAAAGAGCAAAATTCAGGACACTTCATATTTACATGCACAGTAAATATACTTACAAACCGTAAAAACTTAAATAGTAGCCGCTGCTTGAACTGAAGTCCCGTATGTCTTTTATAATTTTATAAATAGTGACCTTACCCAAATTAATAGGCGTGATTTAGGGGCCCCCGGTCTGGATTTGAGTTTTTGTGGTACTTACATACATACGTATTTATGTATGTAAATACCAATATATGAACATGCATAAGTACGTATCTCTTATTATGTTAACATGCCATTGGAATTTACAACCTATTTACAAATTCTGAGGTCGAGTTGCAACCGTTTTTTAGAATTTGGTTTCAGGTGCTCAATGAAATCTTAACGGGCTATTAAGTTTCACATACCACTCCGCCTGGCATGTACATACATTTAAAACCTCCTTCCTAAAAATGTAAAAAAAAACTTTCTCAATAACTCAATTGAAACTAATTCAGAAATTTTGCAACTTTTTGTCTGTTTTTCCAGCACCTGTTCGCATAAATTCATCGTTTCAACTCCTTCCAACATCGAAATGGAGAATCCTGCCCAAACGTGTCATTTAATATCCGATCTGCCCGAGGTATGTAATTGACCACTTGATTTTGAAACTTTAAAAAACTTCCAAAGTTAAATTAGTTTGTGTCATGCAATTTTTTTCAGACAATTTCAAAAATTATGGGATTTCTCTCCACCCCAGACTTAGAATCCGCCTCCCTGGTCAACTCCACCTGGGAAGAAGCCGCTCTGAAGCATGTCCTCGTTCGAAACCCGGTCGAGATCCACCTCCACAACGTCACCGAGCCCGAGGAGCTCGTCCCCCTCGCGACCTTATCGCCTCCAAACGTCAAAATTCTTATTCACGATCTGAACTACTGGACGGGCCCAAATGTGGAAATTTTGGCCCAAAAAATAGATTTATTCTCCTCTCTTAATTTCTCATCCGTAACAAAATTATCCCTCGTTCTCCCCCTCGATGCCTCTTCACACCACGTGGCATCTCGCATGGTCAAACTTTTTGAAAAATCCTCCACAAACTTGAGATCCTTAGAATTCCAATTGTTACTGATCAACCATGAAGACGGACTGTCTTCTGGGGAACACTTATTTCCCGATAGCGTGATCCCCCATGGGAAAAAATTGGTCAATTTGGCTCTTCACTTGGAAACTGTACAGGACCGTACCATGAACCGATGGCCCGCCGTTATCTCCCTGATAATCCGAATTCTTAAGATTTTCTGCAAGGTGGGCAATCTTTCCCTGTCAAACTTGCCGGGTGGGCTGCTTTCCGAAGACAGTGTCACATTACCCCGCCTTAAATCAATCTCACTGGAAAGAAATATCAACGTAACACATTTACAAAAGAGCTACGCAGCGCAATTTTTCAAATTCGAAACACCTCTGAAACCAAATTTCGCAACTATTATCCGGCTCGAATTTAACGTTTGTAACAAGGATGTTGTCGAGCTTTTTCGCCTCCTCGCGCCACAGTTGGAACACGTGTGCATCTCAGGCGTGAGAAACGTAACCCCGGACATAACGCCATCAATTTTCCCGGTGGAACACATCAACGTCCCGATTCTCCCGAAATTAAAAGTTTTCGAAATTTTGAGACAAGAAATTGTAATAAGTTGTACCGACAACAGGGCCAAATGGTTTCGACCCGATCTTTACTTAAACTTTGAGACGGGGTCGGATTACGTTAAGTTATCGTATGACATACAATTTCCCATCCTGGAGAAGTTAGTTGTGCGCGTCGTCCCCCAAAATATGTTTCTTCCATTTGAGTTGCTGAATATTATGAAAAAACCGTGCGAAAATTTGCAATTTGAGGCGACCATGCTTTTCCTTTATGAAACGTTTTTGGCGGAGGATCTCGAGCCGTGTGGGACACTGAGGAATTTAGACATTTCCATCCCCATGAGGGTGGGCGTGGGAAGAAGGATGAAAATGCGGCGGCGGTGCGGGTGCGATGATGAAGTGGAGATTTGCAAATGTTGGGGGTGGAAGGAAAACGGGACTGATTTTTATTCCAGGATTGCCACCATTTTTCCTAACGTGGATTACGGCGTTCTCGAAAGGGGCAGGAGAAGTGTGAGGATGGCGAAGCTGATTGAGCTGGGTGTCACGTTTGGTGGTGAGGGAGGAATTTGTGGAGATTGTGGGGATAAACTTGGACTATACTGAGGGTGAAGGTGTGTCAAGCGGAAATGTGGAAAACCACTTTATCAAAATAAAATTCCAAATAAAACTACTTTAAAAATTCTACTTATTTATTAATTAGCTTGTGTGTGAATCCACTTATGGCTATATGCAAATATATGCAAATGTCTAATATTTACACATCTTTGTAATTGTATATTTATGTATTTTCATGCAAGCGGGCTTACTCTAAGTTCAATGCACAAAGATAACGGAAAATAAAAATGATTTCCTTATGTTTTCGAACTATATATTCCATTAATTTTTCTCATTCTGGCTGAATTGCATAAATATTACGACATAGGTCAGAATGGTACCAAGAATCTGTAAATAATAATTGTGAAACTAATCACGACTTACATATTTACATCCTCGTGTGAAACACTTGCATTTTTTTTAATTACCGTCGCCATGAACGAATACGTCACCAAAAAGCTGTGTGCCTTAAGTCCGATCGGGTTTTGTGCCATGTCCAGTAAAACTAAAGTCACGCGAGACTCGTCCCTCTCCTCAAACTCGTGTTTGCTCCACATGTCGAAAATCACTTTCGAAATGCTCTGAAACTGTGCATGAAAAAAAATTAATGGGGAAATCAACTAGCTATAATTTTTTCATACACTGTTAGAAATCTGTTATAGTCTTATAGTCACGCAAGTATTGATTGCTCTGTTTTTTTGTTTAAAGTTTTTTTACTGACATAAAACTAGTAAAACTTTACTAGTGTAGTAAAACTTTAATACCAAGCTATTTATTAACCTTACTATACAGGGTTTTACTTATCAGTACACTGCTAAAAATCTGGTAGTCACATACATACTCCGTGCTGGTATTGATTTGGTAATAAATGTTCTACCAGATTGGTAGTAAATTGTTCCTGAGTGGTAAATTTTTCATTAACATTACCCGAATGGGAATGTTATGTTAATACCAGTGCCGGTAGAGTCATAGATATGTACATATATGTACTCTCGTAGGTAATGATTTAATACCAGTTTTCTAAGAGTAGTGATGGTAATCCGTAACCGATCCTATCCTAGGATCGTAAAAACTCGGATAGGATCGGATTTTCACACGGATCGGATAGAGGATCCGAGGATCAGACAATCCGATCCGATCCTAACCGATGAGATCCTAGGATCACACAGGATCCTCGGATCATCCGATGTAAACTCGTTTCACATTTGGTGAGTTCATCACATGGCGTACATTACCCGAACGAGCCGAATTATGTTATTATTCTACACCAGTTATTTTTATTTTGGCGTTGAAATCATACTAAATTGAATAATTTGAACGCCAAAATAAAAATAACTGGTGTAGAATAATAGGATAATTCGGCTCATTCGGGTAATGTACGCCATGTGATGAACTCACCAAAAACCGTTCCAATAAATAAAGAAAAGCAGCTGGTAAAGTATTTCCATAGTTAGACACAAGGTGTCTCACACATATCATCCGCGGATATCCTACGATCGGATCCTAGGATCGGATCGCATCGGATTTCGAGTAGAACCGGGAGCCGATCCGATCCTAAAGCGAGCAAATCCGATCCGATCCTATCCTGTATTTATCCGATCCTATCCTACGGATCGGTTAATTTAGGATACGGATTACCATCCCTATCTAAGAGTGTATGTACCACTTCGTTAGAGTTGTAACGCTTGGTATTATTTTAATACTGGATTTCTAAGAGTGTGAATTTCACTCACATTGGCCGAACTTTCCGCACAGATTCCCAGGGAAGCAACAAACCCTGCAAATTGCATCATAATTTGGACTAATTCAAGCGTTGGCACTTCATCAAGTGCGCCGAAATACGTGCAAAATGACGACGCTCCGATAAACCAAGCAGCAAATAAGGCAATTGATGAACATTCGTTCATATTTGTGGTTACTTCCTTAAGGACGTCGTAATGGGTGAGAATCTGTCAATTTTATATTTCATATTTTATTTCTTTTTATAATTTTGAGTAGGTATTTCAATTTACAATTTCCAAAGTAAGATTTTTTCTGTTGTGGGCGAGATACTTGACGGAATCCTTGCTCAATTTGTAACACTGTCCAATTGAGATGTACACAAAGGCGATAAACGTGAACATACAAAAGTTTATAATGATGAGAAAAGTCAGTTGGATTTGCTGCATTACACCTCGATTTTTTGAGAATGAAAAATATGCTGAAATCAAAACCTTCACGAGATGTGAAACTGACATTATCAGGAAAACAATTGTTGTCGCAGTGGCCTAAAAAATATATGGTTTTTAAAGTTAAGATGGTTTTCGAGATTGGCATTTTCATATCAAAATGCGGATTGGTAAGTAGATCCGATCTGGTAATATCCGAAATCTCGGATTTGTTATCGAGTTGTTCACTATCGAATGGATCCGATCAGGTCCGATAATATCCGATAATCGGATCGGATTCAAGTTATGGTAAACGGGCGGATTATCCGGTCAGATCGGATATTACCTAATTGTATTTATACCCTAATTAAAATGTGCAGTACATATAATTTACCTTTAACCATGTAATCCATCCAATTTCACTAGAACGTTTGCCCGCAATTTGCAAGCAGTTCGAGTAAAGTTTTCCCATTGAAGCGCCCCCATTCTTGTTCAGGGTATAAGCAAAGATGTAAATTCCACTGATGGCGGAATATTTATGAAACAGGACGTACAAGCCGGCCGGATTTTGTTGAAATGATTTCGGAAACTTGTATCCACCCAAGGATATAAACGTAGCAAACATTACTATTTGTGGAAGCCATGACACCAACTATATAATTGAAAATTTTTTAGGTAATTGATTAAGTTTTACTGACGTTTTAGTTATTTCCGAACCTTCCTAAACGTTGTTATTTCCACGGTGAGAACATGCTTCCCATTCAAATTCACGGTTAAAGGGACACGATATGTGTACGGAGTTAGAAATGTGTAATATGCAAATTTGTGAAATAATTGGAAATTTAAGAATATTTCAGAAGTAAAAGGTTCAATTTTTACAGGGTAGTTAATTACACGGAATACTCGCTTATCAAATGACGCGGTGTTAATCATTCTTAAATATATTTTTAGCAACTTAATTCAGCTGAGGCTAATACAAAAAAAGACTATTTCTAGATATGTAGGTCATCTAATGGCTCCTCACAAAGTGCACAGGTTAGTCTCACTGCATATGTACATAGTCGAGAAATACGCTAAGAAGCGTGTCTCTAGAAATCGTATCGATTTAATCCAGCTAATGATGTTATATAAAAACATTCATTTAATTAATTAAATTTCGGTTGTGCATAACACAATACGATGGGCGTATTCACTGATTATATCAACTTTTATAAGTGTACCGCTAATTACCCCTGTTATCTCTTCTCGTAAGTTTTTTAACGCCCAATACATATAGGGGACCGTCCGTAAATTGTGTCACGCGAGAGGGCGGATGGAGGGGGGTCCAAGGCTCCAATAATATTGTGCCTATCTGACACATGTGAAAGGGGGGTGGGTCTAAAAATTCGCGAGTTTTGAGTAACACAATTTATGGATGTCCCCTAATTTATTAAGTGTTGAATTGCAGAAAATCAAATCAAAGTCAAAAATTTCCCGAGAATGGGTACACAAAATGTATAAAATCAGTTCAAAAAGATTTTTTATCCCTTTGTGCATGATAGATATTTATGTATGTACGATGAAGTGTTTGAAACAATATTGCTTCAATTTGTGTAGCTGCAAACACATTCGTATTATTCACTCCATTGAAACTAATAAGGGAAAGTACAAGCATTTAGTTATGTAAATACGGCAAAAGTATGTAAGTAAGGATTTTTTATTTTTAGGTTTTATTTTTATTTTTATTATTCTAATAAACTGACACAACCTGTATTTGCATCGAATTAATCCCCAAGGAACTCCCCAAGTGCAAAAACCTTGTTCCATTTATAAATTTTTGTATGTATTATATGTACATGCATAGTATGTGTCTAATAAATATTTACATTTCTATACAAATTTGCATATGCACACGTACTCAAAATCCTAAGCTCTACATACAAATTGAAACGAATTATAAAAATCGCTCCCTTATTTTTTCAAACTCTTCCTCTACATACCCTTAATTTTTCTCATTTTGGCTGAATTGCATAAATATTACTACATAAGTCAGAATGGTGCCAAGAATCTGTAAATAAAAATTGTCAAATTATTCAACCTCGAAACACTTAAGTACATACATACACGTATGTAAAGTGTAAATTTCTTACCGTCGCCATCAACGAATATGTCACCAAAAAGCTGTGTGCCTTAAGTCCGATGGGATTTTGTGCCATGTCCAGTAAAACTATGGTTAGACGAGACTCGTCCCTCTCCTCAAACTCATTGTTGCTCCACATGTCGAAAATCAATTTCGAAATGCTCTGAAACTGTGTATGCAAAACAAACAAAAAATTTGGCAAGTCATTTAAGTAATTTGAATTTTTTCATGTACATATGCCACTCAACCCACATTGGCCGAACTTTCCGCACCGATTCCCAGCGAAACTACAAACCCTACAAATTGCAGCAAAATCTCGACTAACTCTAATGTCGGGACTTGATCCAGTGCGCCGAGGTACGTGCAAAATGACGACGCCCCGATAAACATAGCCGCAAATAAGGCATTTGACGAACAATCGTTCATATTTCCGATTACTTCCTTGATGACACCGTAATGCGAAAGAATCTGTAAGTTTAATATTTTAGGTTTTGATAAAAAATTACAAATTGTATTCCAACTTACCATTTCGAAAGTGAGGTGTTTTCTATTCTGGGTGAGAAATTTGACCGAATCTTTGCTCAATTTGTGGCACTGTGCAGTCGTGACGTACACGTAGGCGAGAAACGTGAGCATATAGAAGTTGATAATGATGAGGAAAATTGTTTGAAAAATTTGCCCTGTTACACCTTGTTTTTCCGAGAATGAAAGATATGCTAAAACCAAAACCTTCATGAAACGTAAAACTGGCATTGTCAAGAGAACAATTGTGACGGCAGTGGCCTAAAAATTAGTAAAGAAGATGGTCATCAAAATTGCACGCTTATAAATCCAGTATTAAAATAATACCAAGCAGTATTCATATACAAGACCCTATTGAATCAATACTTTTGATAAGTAGTACCGTGTAGTAATAGTTGAATATCAAATTTTGACCATACCGGTACAAATTTTTACGGACCGGTATAATATTAATACCACGCGATAGCAACTTTACTACCGAG